GTATGGCATCGATCACTCTCCAGTAATGCGGAAAGAGCATACACTTCTTCACTGACACTAGGATGACTGGCCAACGCAATTAATTTTTGCAACTGATTGCTCAAAGTGTGCAAGTGGAATCTTAGATTCATATCTGGTGTTCATGAGATGAGGGATGAGACTGTGGCATATTGCTTATGTCAATATGCAAAATATATGAATGGTGAGCAAAGAAAACCCATACACAATTCAGCAAGCATAACATTCTGTGAACGTATTGGTATGGTCACCTACAGGTGCATGGCAAATTATTCACTTCATAGCTTCAGAATTTGTCACAAAACTTGTTTATATGCTGCCAAGCATGTTTTAAGGCAAAAGGGAGTTATTTCTAACAGATATTATAAAATGTGATAAGTTTGTATTGCCAGTTTACAGTAGTCAGTAATGAAGTTCTATTTAAGCAGGGAGTCAGCACCCAGCATACGGAAAAAATGTGTGTTTTATCCTGTCTAGTTATGCAGTGTTATTCAAGCAGCATGCGTCTGTCTCAACAGAAAACCTTGTACATTATCATAACAGACTGTAATGTCTATGAGCTGCATTGTCAGGGTTTGATTTTTTTTGTCTGAGTCGGGGATTTATCTCTTCACTGTCACATCTGTGGCGAACCCAGCCTCCTATCCAGTGGGTACCGAGAACCCTCTTTTCCCAAGGTCAGGTGACCAGAGCATGAAATTGACCACTCCGCTGCATCAAATGCCAAGGTTTGTGTATGGAGTCTCTTCTGCATTCCCACATATGTATGCATAGCATGATGCTTAGACATAGAAATTACTTTGATTTTTATAAGACTTAATGTTTTCGCTGTGATGACTCGTATTGTGATCCTCTGCGTTTTGACATGTGTTGTAATGTGGTAAATGTTTACTGAGGCTCTGGAACCTTGGACCCACAATATGACATCATAACCCAGAAGAACTCAGTATGGTTCTTTAACTTTATTATGCAGATATGAATTGATACAAATTATTGTTTAGATTTTAAACCAGAAGGAATTCCAGAAATTAGAGGCTGCACAAATGCATTTTTTTTTTCTGAGACCACTATTAGGCTTCACTGGATGAGACTGCCAAATAGATTCTGACATAAGACTAACTTTGGAAGTTGCAAATATGGATTCAAGGACACCAACAAAATTGGAAAAGATTTGAGGTTCTCACAGTGGTGGGTATGAAAATTACCATCTTCTGGGATGTGATACCACATAGTCTGGTAGAATGTTACCTAATATAATATTCTACCAAATTACATGTCATCACATATGAGGAGAGAGTAGTCTTATAAACTGGAGAAAATAATTTCAATATAAGTGGAAAGAGACTGACCACCTCCACACTTAGCATTTTGTTACAGACTAAGCGGACTAAGAGGATGACCAAAATGGTGTAAAGAGACCAAGACCATCTTTGGATTCATAGGTTCACAGGACATCATGATGTAACTTTATAAAGTGGATAGTAATTATTATGACGACAGTGACACCTTTACTTAGCACAGTGTTACTGCAATTCTTAGGCATGGTGAATACTAACATGTATTTAAACTACTGATGAGAATAATTCAGAGCAACTCAAAACACTGAATAGAACTTAATTATGCAAATATTTATGAACCAGTAAAATGTCGTTTTGTTGCAGTGCCCTGTTTACTCTTATATTTCTTCTTGTACTGTAGATACTTTTTCCTGTTATATTCTAGTTTTTCTTTACCACAGATAGAATTGTATCAAATCAGGATATTCCATTCCAATGTCCCTGATGGTAGTGTTAAGTCAGAATATGTAGGGCATGTAAAAATATGTTAATTTAATAATTTTGTGGATGATGTTAAAGAGAAGCCATAATGTATTTAAATTTTTTTTCAAGTTGAATGGATTCTGACTTTAAATTAACTGTTCTTGGAAGAGTACTGTCTTCTGGGATATAACATTGTGTAGTCCGTTGAAAGTCTGCTTGCTCCCTGCTTTCATGCTTTTTCTTGTTTGTCTTATTCCTTGACCCTGAAGATGGAGATGATATGTTACTCTGAAATGCTGGTTGACTTTCAGTGGACTACACAGTGTTCTATTGCAGAAGATAGTACTCTTCGTAACCACTGCTGTGAGAACCTCAAATCTTAACTGTTCTTGCTTCTCTAGTTGAATGAAGACCATGAACAAAAGCCATCTGGGGAAAGCAGGAAACTGGTTACAGATGATGTTTCGCCTATGGTCTCGAACCATGTTGAGGAGCTAGGACCTTCAGCTGTGCCTCATTCTGATGTTTCTAATCAAAGACAGAGCACACCCAAACGAACTGTGGCTCAGAGTAATCCAGTTCCCAGTAGTAACGTAATGGATGGGAACCCTCACTCCGTGGTACACATGGAGGACGCTGTGTCAGCATTCAGCCGGACAGAAAGCTTCCCTGTATCAGGTAAGCTGTCAGAGGTATCAGGTGCAAGTGGTTTTAACCCCATGAAGGTTTTAGACATTCTTTATGACTGTAAGAAAGAACCTCTTGTGTGAAATTTGTGTCTGTCCATTGCTGACATACTGTCAGCTCCTGAACCATTTGACAGGTTCTTAAAATTAGATAATATAAACACCAACAAAATGTCAGGTAATTCTAATTTTTGACTGTGGTGACGCGTATTAAAGTCTACTTTACTTGTGGCTACAAATGGATAAACAGGCTACAAGTGAGTTTAATAACCTGAAAGAAATGCTGTTGAGAATTTTGTCTACTACATTACATAGTGCACATGTATGAGTCTTGTTCTGTTTGTATTTGTATATGTTTATACTTATTGCATGTGAATATGAGATTATTTTTATTTGCTTGTTCCCATTTTTAGCATACTTTTGTTATTTCATGCTGGTAATGGACTAATGGTATCATTTCTTTGTGACTGTTTCCTCCTTAAAAACATTCAAACCAATTCATGAATTTTCATGAAGCTTGGTATGAATATTGTGACACTTAGAAGTCACTATGTCTCTTTACTTTTCAGAATCTTACAATCTGTAATACCCACCTGGAAGCCCTGCAGATGTGGGATTTGTGATCCAAAGAACCTCCAGGATCTTATTCTAATGCATTTGAATCCATTTCACATATCCACACTCTGTTCGTCTGAGGTCACTTTTAGTATTACCCTCACATATATGTCCTGATATTTTCATGTTTCTTCATTTCATCTTCTGGCATCATTTCCATTGTTTACAGGTCATCGGGCAAAATGTGTCTGATCTCTTCTTTCTTTATTCATGATGCCATCTAGTACGTAAACCATCTTGTTCTGGGTCATCTCATAGGTCTCTTTCCTGTAAATTTTAGTTGCAGTGCCCATCTTACTATCCTTGTTCCATCCATTCTTTTCAAATGGATAGCCATTTTATATATTTTTCTTCTAAATATTAACCCATTGTAGTCCTATGTCAGACTGACTCCACCACTTTAAATTTTGTATTCTGGTCCTATGTTTGACTCAGTCCGCCACATATGTTATGAATGTAATAGATGATCTGGAGTCAGTCTGAGGGAGGCAATCAGTGTCCATGTATCTTTCAAGCCTTCCCGGTTTAAGTGGCATTAATAACCATTTATTGTGATATTTTTGTGAATTTTATGATAGATTTTTCAATGGGACTGCATATATTTTTTTTTTGTGTAGTTATATCCCAATGGTGTCTTCCAGTGGGCATGCATTGGATAGCAAATAGATCAATGACAATTGCATGATGATCTGGATTATTACTGTGAACTTTTTCAGGGTTCAGACAATGGTATATTTACAACTCTTTAATGAACCGTCACAACACAGCAAATAGTAAAACATCAACGTCAGCATTCAGCTGTGGCTTTGCTACATGTTTCAGCCACTAACGGCCATCATCAGGCAAATACATATCAACAAAATCTACCATTTAACTGCAATCATAAAATGAATATAACACTATTAATGGTACAATTTTAAAAATGCTTATGTAAAAAATACAAAAGTTCAGATTATATAAAAATTAAAAATTGAAAGTATTATATAACAAGATAAATATTAATGATATTTTCAAAACATCAAATCAGTCGTTGGATTTATTTTGTGTGTGTTTCCATAGGCAGTTTGGAAATTTGATATTACTTTATATAGAAGATTTTAAGAGAGGCCCATGGTGTTGCAATTAATAAATTGTGTAATGGTGCCCTGTCTTATGAAGAATTGTCCATATTGCATGGAAAGCAAACAACGACTGAGCTGAACGCTGGCTCTGATGTTTTACTATTTGCTGTGTTGTGACGGTTCATTAAAGATTTGTATATTGTAACACAGCAGGATGCACGAAATTAAGATTATAAATGGTATATTTTATTGTGTTGACCCTGATGCCGAAAGATACGGGCCTCATTTGAGTGGCAGTTGTAGTAATTCTTATGACTGTTAACCAAACACAACTGTAGGTGGTGCTAGTGGTGGTTGTACCTGTGGTTACAATGACGAAGACGATAATGAAGACTGGGCTCTCTGGGGCGAAAATGATCAGGATTTCTGTGTGATACCATTTTGTGCCTAATCTGGTTATAAACCACCTCGAAACTGACAAGTGCCTTTTCTCCATATGAATTTCTTATTTTCTTTTTTTAATGCAACTTTGTTTGAAGAAATAGCTACCGAAACTAACAGATATGAAAACAAAAACTTGTGCAACATGAACTGGGAGTTAGCAGAACTTCTAACTTTGTCTTATCTGGAGTTCTGTAAGAAAGTGATTGAAGTATTGATAGGAACCATTTGAAACAAAATGGTCTGAAGGAGAGGAAGAGCAAGTTGAACAGATGCGGAGGACCATCTGAATGGCACACTGCACCTAATTGAGGTGCATGATGGGAAGGTGATGAAGGAAATGTGTGGTTTGCTCCAACAGAAAAGTTAAAGAAGGCAGAAGAGAAATATTATTTTATTGTGACTTACATCCGAGGAAGCCAGGCTCCACCCCAACAAGTGTTTTGCCATCTATCATACAGTGAAGAAGTACCATTTGGAATGTAGCTAATAGAAATATCTTAGATAAAGTTACAGAAAAATAATATACCATTATCCAGTAGAAAATTGTTCTTTGGTTTTTACACACAGAGGAATCAGCTGCTGATACGGGCGTGTTGATTTGTCCTATTATCACACATTATTTATATGTGATGACTTCATTGTTTACTCTTCCATCAGTTTCATTTTACAGAGCTTATTAACATCAGCATCTCAAAAGGAAACAGCTCTGAGATTATGACATCAAATGATTATACCTCCTAGGCTACATGTAATATGACTTCTGTAATATTAGATTTCTGCCAAAGTTATAATCAAAGAACTGGGCTTGATACCGTTTTTTGAAGAATTATAATAAATACAGCTGCACCATTCACTACAGTCCATAAAAATTATTTCACATAGTATTCAAACACTGAATTGTGATCTTTGCAGACCATATTTTCATCATACTTAGCAATGTTTTTTTTTCTGTTTTATGCAAGTTGTAAAGAAACACAAACCAGCTTATAATAGTCACTGCAATTAAATTGATCAGTGGAATCTGAATAAGACCAGCAGAGAACTATAGTGGTATTTCAATAGGACTGCAAAGGGTTATGTTTTGAATTCAAACTTATCTTCTTAAAAACCACATTTCTAACTCATATCTTTGTGTTTGCCTTCGAGTGGTTTAAAGAAAATTTGTAACCATTGCTGGAAAACCTCCTTCAATGCCCTAATCTTAACAAGGAGATGCAACAAAGCAAGAATTTGACTGCTCTCTATTGGGAAGCAAGAAGCAGAATGGGTTAAATGATCCCAAATGCAGCCTTTGGAAACCAACCAATCAACCATTCCTGGAAATCTGCCTTTGTTTCTCTGTGTAAGGTGCCATGGTTTGGTAATTGTATGTTAGTACAGTTTTGACCTTTAGCTGACTGCCTAACCAGTACCTATGCTCTAAACTCCCCACACCTTTTAGGCAATCCATAAGATGATTTTCTTGGTGTTACTGTGTAGTGCCCTGCAAGAAATGTAAGCAACAAGTATTTTCTGTTACACGTCTGATGAGAAGTTTTCTGGTTCCAAAGACTCCTGGAACTCAATTTTTGCTTCTGAATACATATTTCACTTCCCAAATAAATTTGTTCACCTGTTAACCATTATGTCAGTAATTTTTATTCCATTGTTTGTGTTCAGGTTCTTTGAAGTCCTCGTAGTCATTGTCTTGTCCATATTCATCATCAGTCCATATTCCTTTATAATAAGGTTCCATGAATTTAGTTCTGCACCAGTTTCTTTTCGTCTTTCATCCATATCAACATATTAAAATTTTCATGCCTGTACCTTTGTCATCCTTGAATATCTAATTATCCTAAAAAATGTTAAAGAAGACTTCAAAATGTAAGTGTAATACCACCCAATATGTGTTGTTTCATCTGTCTTGGATGTAATTAACTGCCTTCCTTAAGAGCCTCGATAGTGCAGTCGGCCTAGCCACTGTCTATGGGCTGAATGGCCAAGGGTCGGCATTCAAATCCCTGTAGGGGCAAAATATTTCTACCTTTCATGTCCAGACCAGTTCTGGGGCCCACAAAGTCTCCTATTCAATGGGTGCTGTGGGCTCTTTCCCTGGGATGTGAAGCTGACCACCCACCTACAGCAAGTGCTGAGATTAAGAATACATGGATCTGTACATCCACTCCCCCATATGTCTTCATGGCGTAGTGCGTGATTAGTTAAGTACAGGACCCACATGTGGGATGTACTTACATTGTTTATGCAAAGCTTTGGAATGTCATCATGTGGGAAGACACTATACAAGGTTTCACTGTAGTTTTATGTAGTTCGGTTTTAATAATCTAATGTTTACTTTCAGGACAACTTCCAAGGCGTGTATTTGAGGCACTGGATGATCCCAAAGATGTGTCATTTGATCATGATGAAAATAAGTACAAGCGACGGTCAGCTACAGAATGGTTTTCTCGATGGTGGAAGTAAGTACACACACAGTGGCTACAAACTGACTGTACATGTTGTAGAATGAACTCTTTAGTAACACTTGAGAAGCAGCAAGTAGGGAGATATAAGCATAGCATAAAAATTGTGACCCATTTGCTTGGATTCCAGAATCTTATGTCTGATAAATAGGAGTTGTTTTATTATGTGTGTATGTATACCTGCTACTAGAAAAATGACACTAATATATTAACATTTTGTAGAATGGTAATCTGGCGGTATATCATGTAATTAATTTTAGCTGGAAGGCTTCTGATTGCCATCTTTGTCACGATCACCCTCTCATTTGGTTTCACACTGTGGAGACCCTTGCTCACAAAGAGATTGTGCAGTCCTGCCTAGGCAGGCAAAGGCCAGAAGGATGGAACAGATTGTATCTGGAGGCATTAGAAACCAACCAGCCAACATTTTACAGTGACATATTTTCATGTGTTGTAGTGGAGCAGTCCATTTTGTCAGTATTTATTGTGTTTCCTGAAGTGTAAGCATATTTGTTGTAGGTCAGTTTCTGGTCCATCTTTGCACAGCCGTAAGATTGGTGGTCACATGTATAGACGTTACTGGATGGCAACTGTTCTCCTTGTTGTGGGCCTTTTGACTCTCATCGTGATATTTTCATGGTTGGGTCGTATGTCCACTGCAGATGACCCAAGCTTTGATCCCCTGTATAATCCAAATATTCGAATTGCTAAGCAGAAAGAATGAAACCATCTTTACATTGCTTGTGGTATGTATGTTGCTGTATGTTGAAGGTTTCAGAGGACATTTTACATGAATGTATAATCAGCAGTGTAGCATATTCCTAGAATATCATCAGTTCATGATTCATCTAATGAACTATGACATGACTGTTTGAGTGTGGGAAGTAAATGAAGTTGTTTGTAAAGGATCATCGAATATAATGGTGCATTAAATTAAACATAACAGATGTGTATTTTGTAAACTTTGTATATTGCTGAATATTGTCACATAGTTACAGTTGAATGTGTATTCATTATGTACAGTAACTTGTAATGAGCATCTCTTTGTTCGCCGTGCACATTAGTGATGTTATTTTAGTGCTAAGTTGACGAACTGTCTAAATAAATGGTTTTTGTTCATTTGCTTTAGTTTGCTCTTTCTGTCTTAAAGGGTCTTACTTTTTCAGAAAATTCACATCAGAGAACTTCGTGGTAAGAGGAAAAGAAGAAACATGTGAAAATGTTGTATGACTTCGCCTATCAGAATAAATCATGTAGAAAATTGAAAGTTTTCCATTGTTTTGGCAAATATTGTGGTTGCCATCTTCAGGGTTAGTGTCGAGAGAGGGTGGGAGTTGAAGACTTATGTAGATCCATCCAGTATTACTACATCTTATGTCAGAGTATTCTTTTCAGTACTTTTTAATAAGACACCCACAATTTATGAATGTCCTTAAGGTGACTGTTCAAGTTCTAGATCCATAAGAAAGTAAAATTATGTTTTTATATATTTTAAATCTAATATCTGCACAAAGATGGATAGATAACAGATTCTGATTTAATGGTAGCATACTCAAAATTTAATCTGCCATTAGAATAACTCTTCTATATTAATCTGCCATTAACTTCTTACCAAATCTAATCCTCATATGTTACCATTCTTCCCAAATATTTGAAATTGGCCATATTTTTAAAGGATTTTTAGATATCTTTTATGTTGCCTTTCCTTACTACATTTATGTTCTTGATGAATTATCATCATGGCACAAATCACAAGCTGTATCTCAGCCTCCTGATTTTCTTGGACCTAGCCAGTGGTGTATTGTAATGTGAAGATGAGAGAGCAGTGTCAAGAAAGCATCTTATGTAAGACTATTCTGAATAGGAAATGCAGCACACAGTTCCTTATCCATATGGATTTTACTGCTTTTGACTTCAGTACTTCAACTGGCCTAACTAGTTTCATGGGTATACAGAACTAAACGAGACTGTTTCATCTCCGCTGAGTTATAATCTTTCTGAAAGTCTGTAAAAGGGCTAAAATTTTAAAATTATTAAGATCCATAAAGAAATGCAGTATCATTAAAATTTATTGAAACTGCATTAAACAAGAAGAAATTTAATCAAATAGTTGTACACTTAAAGACCTTCACTTGTTCTCATGTTGTAATCCATCAATTACTGCATCCAGCAGGGATGCAACAATTATTATTATTATTGTTGTTATTATTATTATTATTATTATAAATCAGACCATACTTGTTGCTGCCTTTTACAGGCAATGTTTACTGCCACGAAATAATACAGAAGCTAAGCTCCTGACAAATACATGTAGTATGAAGAGAAGGATGTACTAATCATGATCTATTATCTTGCAAGCACAAGAACAAGTAACTATCTGCACAATAAAATCATAATAATCCTATGTAAGATTATGGCAATATAATGCGATGATAGAGGGCTGCACATGCTGGATACAGGTAGTAAGGTAAGGTAAAGACATGGGGGAGTGGATGTATACGTACTAATTCTGATGTTAGCTAGAGTTGCCGACAGTCATCTCTCTATTTTCAGTGGTCAGCATTTTTAATGAAAAAATGTTTGTAAGAACTTTTTGAAACATGGATCTTGTATTTTTCAAATGACTGGAATAAGAAAGACTATGGACACCACATGATTTTTTACAAATTAATATAAAGGTAACAGGTAAAGGTTATCCCTTTGCTAAGCAGCCTCCGTAGTCTAGAGGTAACGTTCCCACCTCATGATTTGTGGTACGCGGGTTCTAATACCCGGCGGAGGTCGTAGAATTTTTAAGGGCAGAAAAATTCAGGGAACAAGTCCTCCGGGAGGGACTTAAAGCTGTGTGTCCCGTGTTGTAACTTTACAGCACGTAAAAGAACCTCATATCCCCAAAGGGGATCACTGAGCCAAATTCCAGGACATTTCCCGTCCCACAGTAGTCTCTAAGGCCTCTGATATATGGGGGAAGCATTATAGATACTGCTAAGCAAGTGGCCAAACTCGCTTGCTCAGCGGGACTGATGGTACGCACCATTTATCGGTAGGGTATAGAGACTGGTAGAGTATCATAGAGGGAAGCACAATAGATCAAACTGGTCACGGTGAATGGGGAAACCCACCCTCTCTAATTAACTAACTAACTATCCCTTTGCTAAATTAATGAAGCACCAAGCCATGATGATGTATGGGGGAGTGGAGATATAGCTCCACCATTCTTAACCTTGGCACTAGATGAAGGTGCGTCATCAGCTTCATGCTCAGGGCACCTTACTCCTGGGGAAAGAACCCCTGGAAACCATTGGATAGGAGACTGGTTGGACCCCAGAGCCAATCTGAATGCTGTGAAGTAGAGAAAAATATCTTGCTTCTGTCAGGAATTGAACCCCAGCCATCCAGCCCATAGTCTGCCTGAGCTATCCCAGCTCCAATACAAAATTTCTGTTGGAAGTTGCTTATAATGATTATGATGGAGTTTTGAATTTAGCGGGAGGGACTTGCCTTGCTGATCCTGAACTTTCCTATACAGGTCTAAAATCACTGCCCTCTGGGTGGGAAAGGCCGAAAGGTGAAGGAGAGCAGAAGGAAGTCTGGGACACCACCTCAGCCGGACACAGCAAACATGGCCTGGACCAAGTGTGTGTCCCATTCCTGATCAGCAGTGCTCTAGCGTACTTGGTTTGTTTTAGAATTCAGGCATCTTAATGAATCTCTTCACAAGACGGTCTCGTAGCCAAGCTGGGGAGATTTTGAACATAAAATGATACCATTTATATCGAGGAGTTTCATTTGTGTAGCTGGAATATGGGTATTTAGACAGAAGTGCTTCTTCTAACACAGAGTGTATCTTGTCATCTGGGAGTGGAACTGGCCTTCCTGGTGTTGGTATAGCACATAAGTATTCGTTGTACCTTCTGAAATAGTCACCAAAAAATTGATGATCATCAGGTGTCATTGCTTCTTCCATCTCCCTAGCATACTCTGGTTGTCGGACCATGATATTGCTGTGCTGCACGAAGCTTCCTGAAAAATAGTATTAACATATCACATTCCTGGACAAACCGATAACAGTGATGTTCTGCCTTCTTGACACACTGGGTACTGGTCACAGTAATTCTCATTCTTTAATTCATTCAGCAAGAATTTACAATTGCAATGTCTATATTTTCATAGACACCTCTATTTCACAAATACCACCACTTCTTGATGGAGTTTCAGACTTTATCTACAAATAATGAAGTCAGTGGAGTAGAGTCCATCTTGAGAAGGCAGTATTTGTTATATTTTAGCATCCTGTTGCACTGATTCATGTCCACAGCACAACACAGAGCACAATACACACATGAATGTAGAAGAGTTCTCCCATAGAGGAGGATTGGCATGACTCGCATATTTGAAATACGACGTATGGATGACGAATCCTGAAAGGTTTTAGTATTTAGAATTTATTGTTGTACATGACAAATACACATTTTAGTCGTTTTATGATGGAGACGTCATGGCATGCAGTGCAGTAGTTTTACATGGATAGAGACACACCTGAAGATGGCACATTAATGCCAAAACATGTAGTGTAAAAGTGAAGAGAAAGGTGAAATTGTATGCGCTGTAAGACGGCTAGCATAGACACACGTCAAGGTAGTATTTGCTTAGCTAGTTAAGAAATCTCATGCCTTTTTTGCCTTCCTGAGAAGCAGACACTTTCTCACATGGACTAGAAGTTCTCCAGCTTTCATGAAGTGCACTGGTTCATCACCATGTTTATTAACGCACTGAATGACCTAGTGACCTCATCGGGAATCGAACTCGTGACCTTCCAGCTTGTAGCATAATGCCTCAACCAACTACACTACTGCTTTCCCCAAAATAGCTTAACTTAAACTAATTATGTAACTGGCCGAATGACAAGATAAGTCTCCACTGCAAAGTATTTCTTTGCACTTTGCTTTCGAATACCTTCAATACATTTTTCTCTGTCGAAGTGAAAAGCCACATTTTTGCACCCACATAAAATAACAGTAAATTTTAATGTTCAGGTTTCTGGCTACGACATTGGAAGAAAGCATTTCCCATATTTAATCTGCTCTTAATTAACCTAATCAATATAACCGCAAACTGTCCTTTGCTAAGTTATCAAAGGACTTCGTCACCTTTATGTTATATCTTTGTCCTCCATTCTGGTGTCACATCATGAAGATGTATTTTCTCTGCACTTACTATCAACTTTTAATATAGTCTCCATGGATCTTACATGGCGTTCATTGTCACTTGATAGTGACCACACATTGGGTATGTATTATTAATTAAAGTCAACTGGCAGTGAATCGCCTTATATGCAAACATCTATACAGTTTACAAGCATTTCCTATCATTCCACAGTCTGTTATGTCACTCTAGCACTTGTCGGCTGTCTTCAGAGATACCTTGCTAGGTTTCAAGTTCTCGTGGTCTTTTGTCTTTTACATACTAGACAATGGATGAAGTCCAAAATAAGCCAAAAGAAGTACTTGCTCCTTTGTTATTCCAGTTTCTGTTATAAACCCTCAATAGGACAGGCGGAGAATACAACTTGCTTCACTGTTGCGCGACTGCTGTGTTTACAGAGGCATTGCTTGGCAACGCTGCGGAGAGTTGTTTACTGCTGCGTAGCAACCAGCACAGTTCGGCTCTGCTCAGCACAGCACGGTATGGAGAAACACCGCTTTACTTACTGTTTCGTAACCTCGTTCCACTGTTGTGTAACTTGGCAACCGACCGTTTATCAAGAGTCTGTCTTTGTGCTAATTCGTTCCACATCCTGTTGCCCAACAACGGTTTGACATGTCGAAATATGTTATGTAGATCATGTTGCAGGATTAACAGTCCTGTACAACATTTCATCCATCACAGGCAATGCTGTCTCTCATTGTGTCCTCTGAGTTGACACTAAACAGAAAACTTGTGAAGTTGTCCCTGTGCTTAGTTGCTTAAGCACTGTGCCATGAAGATAATATAGGGCATTGGAGGTATACCTCCACTATTCTTAACCTAGGACAAGTGGTCAGCTTCATACCCTGGCTGCTTTACCCCTGGAGAAGGAGACTCCAGTACCAATTGGATAGGAGGCTGAGTGGGCTCCAGAGCCAGTGTGGATGCTGTGGAGTACAGAAAAATCTTGCCTCTGTCATGATTCGAAACCCGGCCATCAAACTCGTAGCCCACTGCTATACTGACTAAGCAATCCTGACTCCTTGATCTGAGAATATTCTACGTTTGTTTGCAAACAAAATCTATACTTAAAAACCAAAGCAAAAAAGTGTAAAATAGTCTTTGTATAGTCTGGCAAGTATGCTCAGACTTTAAACATAGACAAATATTAACACATTCACTGCAAGTCCTGCCCCTGATGGGTTAAGCATACTATAGGCCAGTGCTGATCCTGCCAAATAACGGACTGTTGGCATTGGGTATGTAAATATAATTTTCTCCTACAAATATCATTGAAATGCAAAAAAAAGTGAGTGTATCTTGCTGAACCTTGCATATACAGTTACTGTCATTTGTTTATCACTTGTTCTCTTCCATGTCATTTAATATATGGTTCAAAATTAATTTTTTGTAAAAAAAAAAATAGCAGGACCAGCATGCCAGTGAATTCATTAATTCTTAATACTGAAATTTAATGTCAGAGTGATAGTAGATCAACGGAAATGTTGTGTTACTCACTACAGTTGAAAACTATTATAATTTAACAGCCCTCTGTTGGATTTCCTTTCATTTACCTGGAACATAAGAGATGACACGCACACCATACTTGGCCTGTTCGACACGGAGAGCATCACACCATGCAGCCAGGCCTGCCTTGGTGGCACCATACACAGAGAGACCTGGCAGGCTGGCCGCTGCACAGTGGCTGCTGATTGTAATTATGCGACCTACATGGTCGTGAACACCAACAAACAGTACTACTTCAGGTTCATTGAATGAAAAGTAAAATGACTATGAACAATGAGTCTGGATGGAAAAGTCATGATATAATGGTACTTTAAAGTTCTGCGACAGCGTTTACCTGGAGAGATTTAAGTGAAGGTAAAATACCCTGTGCTTAAGTAGGTACCATTACATGAAAACAATGGGATGGGCAGAAGTATAGCTCCATGTTCTTAACCTACACACTACACAGAGGTCAGTGGTTAGCTTCAAACCCCAGCTACTTTACCCACACAGAAAGAGACCCTACTGCCCACTGGACATGAGACCCCAGTACCCACTGAACTTGGTGGGCTATCAAATATGTAGCTAGTCATTTACTGACTGCATTAGCCTGGATCCAAAGGCCCCAGTAATTCAAATAGTGCCTAATACATCACAATGGTTATTTGAATATTCTTAATCCTAACATGGCCAGTTCGGTGCATGATTCCATGATATAAAAATATTGACAGGAGCAATTCTGTTAATTCTGTATCAACTTGACATGGCAGTCATTGTAGTTGCTCTTATTTAACTATGTTCAGTGACTGGAAGTCCTGGCATATATGGAAGTAAAATGCAAGAAATTGGCAATGCTTTTTCTAGGGTTTCAGAAGTGGGGGGAGACTGAGTCCCTTGGTACTGCAGTCTTAATCCTTTGGATCATCAGGTTCATATAAATAACATTTAAAAATTCAGATCCTACCTCACAGGAAACACACTGCTGCTGTTTATTGTGAGAATCATAGAACACTAAAATATATTGTGGGACAAAATGCAGAGTTTTTGAATGACAGAGCTTTGTGGTACACACATGACGGTTGTTCAGATGAAACTTATTTGCGGCGCTGCTAGCAAATTCAGCTAGTCACAAGTGATAATGTGACTGTGTGTACATATTCAAGTGAAACTTGTCTGCAGTGATATAAGCAAATTCAGGTGGTCACGGGTTATCATGTGGCTGTATGCAAGACATACCAGGAGCACAGGCAGTTCCTTGCAGATGGGATCAATTGGTTGGTGCATCAATGAAGTACATGCCTCAAGGAACATATGGGCTATTTTAAATGACCTCTACTTTGCCTAGAATAATCCCCTTGGGAGTTTCATTTGAACAGGTCTCGGAGCCAACATTGTGATTTAAAGGGGTGACTGGGTCTACTATACCCGTTCTACGTGATAGGTCAGTATGGAGCATTGGTGGAATGATAACTAAGTAAAGGTAAAGTTGTCCTAGTGCTTAATTATATAAGTACTATACTATGAAGATGTATAAAGGAAAACCAAAGTCACTGGAGAAAGCCCTTTCCTAGTGCCATTTCCCGCTACACATCACATGTAAAATACCCTTGGAATTGAACTCAGGTTGTCATGGTGACAAGTCATTGACTAACCACTGGATGAGCTATGGCGCAGTGACACTTAGGTTAGTTACATTCATTTGAGGCTTACTACAAGCTGTGCTGGTGGTTACGGTTTACAATGCAGAAAGTAAATGTTGCTCCAATAGAATGCACAGGACTTTTTTGCTTTTATACCTTTGTATTTTCTAAGCAATGGACAGAAGCTCTTAGTGACCCGCATCGTTCCCAGTAGATTCACATTAATTTGGCTTTGTATGTGCTGCTCCGTCAACCATTCAAATTCACCAAATATCATAACACCAGCATTGTTTATTAAAGCTTTCAGTTCTGAAAAAAAAGGACATATGGTAATCACAATTTGATCAAATGCACAAGACCCATTATAATTATTTATCGAAAATTTCACTAGTATTCACTGCAATTAACAAATTAGATCACAGAACAAATTTCCAGCATCAATTCTATCATAAATATCCTGTAGTTACCAACTTCCAATTCAGATCCAAACTAATGAACATGGTGGAAGTATAAAAAACAAAGGCAAAAGCTAAGCATATATAGACCATTCCAAACCATTAATAAACTTGATACATAACATTACTGCACTGCCATCTCAGAAATGACATCTATTATCTTACCACAGATATGCAGTATTCAAAATTCAGCACTCTGAGACTACTTTCTCATGTATAATTTTGGTTGATATTCAGTTGTACAATACAATTTTCTCACAGTGACATTGTTTTCGGCATCTTGAGTGCTTGTAATATGTGTTTACCAAAATTATTTGGATATTGGCTCTTAAATTATTAATTTATGTCCTGCATAAGGCTTTGTACATATTTCTTCCAAGATCCTGGATGGTGTCTCAGTTTAAAACATGCAAGTCGATGAGAAATTTATATTTGACTTAAAATGTAATTTTTTGGAGAACATTAGAATTGTAAATTAGGAATGGTCTATATGCAGAGAAGAAATAGCAATAAGTGTTCCTCTTCTAAAAAAAATGGTGACAGTACTCACATCAGATGACTTTTCTCAACCTACTTTCCTTCCTTAAAACAAAATGTGTCAGCCCTGCATACTGTGTCTACAACCAGACAAAAATGTCGCTGGCAATAATAATAACGATGATGATAATGGGCCCATACTTGGCCACTGGTTGTCCTGACTACAGCCATAATCCCTCTAAGTCTGCCAATGAACTAGAGAACTTAGAAACTGAAAAACTTGTCATCATCAGTATAAAAATCAGTATTTTGGATATGGGCCATGTAACAAAATGTTGCATGAAAGCCTTGCAATAACTGTTACATTTATAGAAAAGAGTACTTGACTAAGTTATGTTTGTGTATCTTCTCTAAAAAGGATACCACAATTATAATATTAATAAGGTTCAATTCTTTATTTATTTATGTGCTGAGCCCAACAGTCAGTGGCCAATTAATAACAATAATGATGATGATGAAGATAATGGTAACAACAACAACAAATCATCATCGTTAACTACACAGATAAAAGTCATACCAGCATTCAATGCAACAAGAAGAAATATAACAAGCATCTTGCAAAGTATGTGGATTAAAACCCTGGTTCACTCATAGTTATATGCAGAAAATACATGTTCTGGTAGTAAGAAATTACTGCTGTGATGCAAAATGTAAAACTTAGTTTCAGTTGAAGCACGTCATATGCAGGTTTGTCTTAGGAATATATGCAGTGTTGAACAGCACAGAAACTCGATGTGATAGGTGAAGGTAAGGTAAAGATATCCCTGTAAGAGGCCGTGAAGGCCCATAGGATTGTGAGATGCTGAGGTCCCGCATTTTCTAGACAGTTCGCTCACAGATGGCGGTGAGGTTGTCAGACTTATGCGCCGGCCCCCTTTAATCCTCCAGGAAGATTCCTGGTACTCATTTCTGTTAGAGGCTGAGTCGACCTCAGGGCCATAGTGCGGCTGGAAAGATTAGGTCAATTGGGAAGAAAAAAAACTCATCGGGACTCGAACCCGTGACCTTCCGGCTTGTAGCATAGTGCCTCAACCAACTACGCTACAACACGATGTCATAACAATAATTACACCACATGAAGGGGAGTGCTCAGCTTCATGCTCCAGCCACCTTACCCCCAACAGAGGGCTCCCTCATTGCTGAATCCAGTAGCATAACAATGAGAACATTGGATGCAAGAGAATGGCCAGCTTTAACCCCGAATAAATAATCCTCCTCACCCACCCCTACTAAAATAATAATAGCAACATAAAAGAAGCACCGAAGAGGCTGGTGTAGTGGCAACATTTTCAACTACTTTTCAGTAGGTGCTCCGAATCTTGGGCGGGACACCGGCTGTCCTGCCTCTCCGGGGAAATGTCGGTGCAGTAGCAATTCATTATTATGAAATCATCCGACAGTCAGGGCTACAGAGTCTGAGATACTGACCGCAATGTAAAATAAACTTAGAAACAGTCACTTGTCCTATTCATATTCTCATACGAATGTTAAGAATATGCTCGCCTACCAAGAAACTTGTCCCGCGCCAGAATATTCTCCACTGCTTTTAGTGCTGCATGTACACTGGGCCCGCTAGTGACATCAAGCCCCAGCACGTGAAGCCTCTTAGAGCACAACTGCAGCAATTGCTTGCCTCCTTCTCCATCAGGATGCAGACAGCCGGCCAACACCGTAAATCCAAGTTTATGGGCGTGCAGGGCCAATGAATAGCCAAGCCCTGAATCGCATCCCGTGATGAACACCGCTTGATTTGCTGAAACTGTTGAAAAATTGTGCCTTCGCAGAAGCCGGCAGATTGTAGATGCTTCAAAGTTATAAGAATACAGCAGCCACGCTACTGAAGCAGCAGCTACGATAGGTAAGGAGACCGCACAACCCATGCTTCCTTTACTGCCCGCTGGTCACTTCTGACGCTTCTGACCGCTTCTGTTCTACTGCTCGACCTTCACAGGCTGATCCGTGTTGCTAGGAGTCTGAGCACAAGACATTTCAATAGAAGTTAACTGTGAAACATTAGCCCGAAAGGAAGCTGGAGGGGAGTGGGGGAACATTCATGTTAGAACATTACTGAAAATCCTATAAAATGTTACGTCCGTGGTTTAGTGGAGCAGTAGTGCAGGTCAGTATAACGATTGGCTAGGGCTGGATGACCGAGGGGTCGTAGTTTAAGTCCTTTTAGGGGTAAGAATTTTCTGCATGCCTCCCAGACCGGCTATGGGGTCCACCCAGCGTCCTAACCAATCGTTCCCGAGGGTGAAGCGGCCGCGGCGCGAAGCTGATCACTCACCTGCAACTGGTGCCGAGGTCAAGGAAAATGGAACAATATATCCACTCCCCCATTCGTCTTCATGGCATAGTGCTTAATTAGTTAAGCACAGGGACAACTTTAACGTCTTTCGCATCTCATAGCTACATGTAAGAATGAAGCTTTCACTGTTCTACACACTTCAAAGTCATTATAGGACACACTAGGTCATCTCATTCTGTTACAGTTTTCACTAATTAGTTAAGCACAGGGACAGCTGTATATCTTTTTTTTTTCTTTCTGTCGTGGTTCAGTGACTTCTTAGTCAATTTCCTGCGGCTTACGTTTGTCTTTTCGGAGCCCAAACGAAATTAGAAGGACATGCTTGTGAAGAGGAGGGTGTGAATGACATTCCTATGTTCACAAAATGGGAAATGTTAATATATTTCAGTTGCTTGGTGCTCATAGAGCACGTAATCAACAAAAGGAAGCAAATGAGAACGGGACGGAGAACAGCGTATTTCTGCTAGAGAGTGTCATGTTATTCTTCGATATTTAAACTTTGTTGTTTATTTGAAGGTATTTTCAGTAGTACTGTCGCAAACAAAAAAGAGAGAAACAAATCTAAATTATGCGAACCAAAAGTGATATTAGTTACCTTTCCAAAAAAGTGGTAAACATTCAAAATTGTCTTAACATAGAAGCATTAGAAGTGTAAGAACTTTGAAAATACTTGACCAGAGAATTACAGCTGCTCATAGAGAGATATAAATTGCTCAGAATTTCCAGGCGAGAGACAGAGAATCTCAAGGAATAACAGCAATAGAAAAGCTTCTTGTCGCCGGCTGCACTATGGAATGGTCGACACTAATACAGGATAGTCCAACAACTGATTCTGCGGAATTCGCAAACTAAAGTCTCTTTCGCTTCTGGAATCTGGAAACTTTGAACACTACTCTGAGAAGTTTCTAGCCAATGCATGTGTGTGGTTACTGAAGTTTGACCTCAGATCTGACACATAATCCTCTACGGAGATGCTATCTACGCAACGTCCACAGATTGTAAAAGTGCCAAATCAAAAATTACAAGTCACTTAGTAGGATTTGAGGTTCCTGCAGCGGTGGTTATGAAGAATATTCTCTTCTGGGATATAACACCTTGTTCTCCGTGTTGCATATTTACATTTAACGTCTCCATGTTCTTGACATTGTCCGTGTCATTTGTATGACCTTCAGGGAATAGTTCTTGGAAGGAATTCGTTATGAAGAGAATGTATTCCGTCACTACGAACGCTCTCTTTCTTATCGTCTATAGATCTAATTTCAATGGAACAATGAAATCAAAATGACGACCTTGCTTTCTACTTAGAATTGCTGATGGATGTCAGTCCATGAATTGCGAAATAACAGGGTCCACAACTATAGTGCAGTGATGCGATTTCCATTAACCCCTGGAGATCTCAGTCAATACAGCGTCTGAGCTTCTGGCTAGCCGACCAAGGAGCTTGGTTTCGATTCCTCGCAAGGGTACGATATTGCTCTCCTTTCACAGCGCTCTGACATGCCCTGGGACCTACCAAGCTTCCTATACAGTGCGTATCGAGGGCTTTTTCTCGGAGTAAATCGGCCGGAGCATGAAGCTAACCACTCATTTCCATCTGGCGGTGAAGTTATGAATACATGGAACTATACCTCAACTCCCCCACAAGTGTTCAGAGCTAGATGCGTAATTAAGCGTAGGAGAAATTTACATTTTACCCGTTTGAAAGAAAGCGTATTGTGCAAACTGCAGCCCAAGTTTGAGACGTTCATTGTGCAGCTCAATTATCTCATACGACACACTGAAAGCACTGTACTGTGCTGTGGGGTGTGACTCCATGTAGTCTGGTAGACCTTACCAACAGCGCCGAGGAGAGGAATGACTCCATTTCGAAGTTCCTGGCGCCTCACAGTCCAGTAGATGCCACTATTTCGGTAATATGTGCTTTCTCCGTGTTCAGGGTTACTGATGCTGTGTTTTCTGATAATTACCAGCGTTTCGGAGGAGCCTGGTGTCTCCATCTACAGGATGGAGGCGTAACCATGAACACGGAGACTGCAGGTTCCTCCTACACCTTGATAACCCTTTATCTTACTGCTCAAATCACGCTTTTATGTTACTAGTCTGTCCGATTATTACAGCCCAAATTAGGTTAAAGTAAACGTAAAGCTATCCCTGTAACAGACCGTGGAGGCCCATCGGCTTGTGTGAGACGTCGAGGATCCCACATTTTCTAGACCAGCTCGCAGATAGCGGTGAGGTTGTCAGCCTTACGTGCCGGCCGCCCTATACACCCAGGAAGATTCCTGGTATTCATTTCTGTTAGCTGAGTCGAACCCAGGATCATAGTGCGGCTGGAAGGACTAGGTCAATTGAAAACCCTAATGACTTCATCGGGAATCGAACCCGCAACCTTCCGGCTTGTAGCATAGTGCCTCAATCAACTATGCTACCGCGTGCCCTCAAATTAGGTTGATATTAATTTTAAATTTATTTAAAAAGAACAGGTTCAGTTTATATGTATCAACGGAATTTGTTATTCTTAATATGATTTATTTACTTTTTAACACCATTTAATACTCTCTTTTCATAAACTGTGTAGAATAAACCGAGAAGTTAGGAAACTAACACATGGCCTTAACAATTCTGCCTCATTCGCTTTCTTTCGTTTCATTATCTCGAGGACCGCAGGGCACACGGAAAAAAGTGCATTGGACGTAATATATGTGTTCCAGATTCTTCCATAACTTTCCTTCGAATAATTTTCCATTTCGAGAAATAATTTAGCGAGTTACGCTGAAGACGCCCGCAGAAACCCCCGTACGTCTTTCAGTAAAAGCGTCCATTAACTTGTTGTTGTTACACCAAAACTTCTTCGTTAAAAGAATGGCCTTGCTTTCACGTTTTCGTGTAAACCAACCATGGAGCTTCACAGGGATAAAGGAAGGAAGACACTGATGTAGATGCTGCAGTCCTGTAAATCCATCATTAAGACGTTTGGGAACGGGATGCCTGTCCCACGGCAGGGTATGGAACTGTATAGGCAACAGAACCTGCCAAGTCTCTCGGAATAACAGACTAAAACTGGACGAGGTGTGTGTGACGGATTCACGCGCTTTTGCAAGACTCATACGGGCGTCGATCATCAGTCTGTGTGAACAGAGGTTACACTTCTAGCGAGACCTTATTCACTTAAGGAATAAACAAATCTCTCGTTTAAGTATACAGTAAATGCAGACAAAACATCAATGTAATTTGATATGCCTAGAAATTACGCTATTGATACTAAAGAAGCAAAAGAAATTAAAATTAGTAGTAAAGGTTATGGATACCAACGTGTAACGGCGATGCTGTGCATAACTGCTGGGAGCCATTAATTACCACCTTAAATTATTTTCAATCACAAAATGATACTTGTAAGAATGAGATATTCCCTGAAGACATTATTGTATGTGCATGAGAATGGTTGGATATCAATTGGGTTCATTATAGTGTTCACAACAGTCCACCACTGGTCTTTATTCAGTGACAGATGAATCCAGTCTACAACTTGCAGCAGCTCAAATAAAACTTCCATAAGTTATTTTGAAAGGGAACTTTTCTAAGCGACTTGGTTTTGCAAATACGCAACAAATGACAAATGACTTACAGAGGATTCCATTTCCTGACTACAAATCAACCCACATCAGTTAAAGAACTGATTTCTGACATCCGTTATTGCCTGAAAATGCGTGTGCTTGGCTAGTGGGATCTACGTAAAGGCGCGCCCACGTTACTCGTGCTCGTGCTCGCCTGGCTTGTGCTCGTAAATCTTCGTCCACACTACTTCAGTTGCTCGCCAGGCTTCGGCGCGTGAGGATCCGTATATTTACTCGTAGTGTGTATAGGGTGTAGTCGTATTTTAATTTATTGGCTATAATTTTTAATTTTCTTGTCTCGTGACTTGTCATATCGTCCACATTACTCGCGAGCATAGCGAGTCACACCAGCACGAGTAATGTGGACGCCCCTTTAGACACACCCCTACAAGGATTTCGGCCTGTCAGAAGTATGATAAAGTTTAAAATAATGAGCAGAGAGCTGGTATGTGAACATTTGACCTCTACATCAGAAATAAAAATTTTACAAAATCCTCACTTGTTTTCACCACGTCGAACAGACAAGACCTTATATCTTGGCTCCACAATTTGGGACAGTTTTATGTTTAAAATTTGTTTTAAGCGTCGAACATAAATAAACTAATTCTGCTAACAATTAATGGATCGTTCATTACAGGGCTAACTCCATAAGTACAAAATGCCTTGTGAAAAAATATTTCGACATTCCCAGCAAAACCCGAACGTATATAACTTTCTTGTTTGGTATACGAGAGCAACATTAAACAATATGGAGTCGGAGTTTTCAGAAAAGGATACAGGGCGAAAGCTTAAGTTCATGCGACCGGCAACAAGCTTCCCGACCTTTTGTGCAATGCTTTTTAACATCAATCCCTCTATTTACGTCTAAGTCTTTTCTACTGGTCTCTTACCTTCAGTTCCCCCTATCAAAACTCCGTAAGTACTGTTGTCCTATGCGTACTACACCTCCTGCCTATCTTCTCCTCTTTGAGTCGATCATTCTAATAAATGATGATGACCACAAAGTAGAAAGCTCTTCATTATGCAGTCTTTTCCCACTCGCTTGTTACGTCCTCCCTCTTAGTTCGACATATTCGTCTCAGCAGTCTCTTCTCAAACTTCTGCCCACGCTCTTCCCAAATTGACTCCATTCCAAATGTAAATAAATGCGTGTTTTATAATTTGATTCCTAATGCAATGCCTGCTATTTATTATAAAGGATAAAAGTTATCCCTGTGCTTAATTGATTTTGCACTATTCCATGAAGACTTACAGGGGTAGATGTATAGATTTATGTATTCTTGATCTCGGCACTAGTTGGAAGTGAGTGGTTACCTTTACGCCCTGACCGCTTTACCACCGGCCCATTGGATAGGAGGCTGGATGGGCCCCAGAAACGGTCTGGACCGTCTGGACGACGTGGACAAGAGAAAGTTGTTGATCCTACCGTGACTTGAACTCCGAACCCTCGGCCGTCCAGCCTTTAGCCAGTCGCTATACCGGCTGTGCTACAAAGTGAAATGCAATAGTGGAGCATGTCTAAGAAAGAGGTATACATAGAACCATATAGAGGAATGGTCTGATCCGACATGTCGAAACCTGCCCTGATTTTTTTTTTCAGTGCAAGAGTACACACAACAAAATCCACTGTCAAAATTTTAGCTGCTAATACGCACTGCGCCGGTCACAGTAGCCGAGCGGTCTAAGGCATGTACTGTCTTCGCTCGCTTGGAAACCGAGATCGTGGGTTCGAATCCCACTCAGGGCATGGATGTTTAGTTTGTGTGTGCGCGTTTTTCTGTGTTTGTGTACAGGTAGAGGCCTTGCGACGAGCTGATCACCCGCCCAAGGAGTCCTATCGAATGTGTAAGATCTAGAAAAACCGAAGTGAACGGAGAAGTTCATGGAGGTAGGCCTACGTCTACTGGGGCTGTAGTGCCAAGGAAAAAAAAAAATACGCACTGCAAGTATTTTTTAAAAATTGCTGAAGTTACTCATTTTTTTCTGTACGCGGACCCGCTTTTACCAGAGGTTTGTACAACCCCAGCCTAGCCTGTGAGTCAGCCATGTTGCGTGTTGCGTACTGCTCTGCTAGGGGTGGACATTTCTCCAAGGGTCTGGCAGGCTACAATATTGGCCATATTCAGCAATTTTTAAAAAAATACTTGCAGTGCGTATTATCAGCTAAAATTTTGACAGTGGATTTTGTTGTGTGTACTCTTGCAGTGAAAAAAAAAAAAAATCAGGGCAGGTTTCGACATGTCGGATCACACCGTTCCCTTGTGAGTTCCCAAACTGTCCCGAGCCTCAGCTACCAGCTTCTCACAGATACAGCTTACACCAAGTGAACCCCAGCGGTTATCTAACTCACTAACCAAGTGACCGACTTCAGACACTCTCTAGACCCACTAGAGTCTAGACGCTCTAGACCAGCCGTGTCAAACTTGCGGCCCCCATAGCGACAAAGTGCGGCCCCTCAACTTTCAGAGCTAATTGATATTAAAATCAATATTAAAATTTTAGTAGAAATATTTTTTGTAAAGACAATTTTCCATCAGACCAGAAGGCAAGAAGTCTCACGCAGACATAAATTAGCAGGCTGCAGGAAAAGTGATTCTCAGAATTGCAGAAGGGTTTGCCCAGCTAACGGTTTGTAAAGTTCGTGAAGGACAAACTATTGTATTTCAGAAGGGTAATGCTCTAAAATCCGCACAACCTCACCACCCCAAGTATTTCCAAGAATCCTTTTGGAGGTGTAGTAAGAATGCAAGGAAGGTGGTAACTGACAGACAAGTGCAAGGTATCTCTACCTTCAAAACTAACTTGCAAACCCCAGCCATTGTCTAATGGGCTGCTAGCAAACTTTCACTTTTATGACCATTGAGACAAAATACACCTTCCTACTAGCCCGGTAGTCTCTTGTACATTGTCATTCAATTCATTTTCACACAGCGACAGGTGCTGATGTTGCATTGTGATGAACGTATAAAGGTTATAATTAAACATTAAATTATCAACTACGAGTTTTCTTGTATATGTTTGTTTGATACTTGTCAAAAATGGCATTCTCTTGCTTTTTAAAACTGTAAGATATGTGACTTTAGGTAATTATATTGAAATTATTCCTACATAATAAATAAAATTTAGTTGGTTGTGTTCATCGGATAATACCTGGTCACACTAGCATTTCAGTTGGAAATTATATATAACCTACTTGTTGGCCGGTTTAATGCCTGTACTCCCAGTACATCACAATAAAATTTACAGCTTCTTTCGTCACTGTTTGACGTGCTTTCTTCTTACATGAAAAGAAAAAAGCGGTCAATAGTCAGGCCATATTTGAAACAAATATTAAGAAGGCGTGCTATGTAGTGTTTTAACAGCATGTTTAAATCATAGATGCCACCAGTGGTCGGTGTTGTTTCTGTAGACGATTAGAGATTTGAATTGTGGTGGGTATGTAGTAGAATATTTTATGTGTATACTTTATTTGAAATTCTGAATACGTTTGGGACGAGATTTTGATTTATTCGTAGACATTGCTGTTGTATGTTTTAGTGGAGGAACGGGTTTGAGCCACTCCAATGGATCGCGGCGGATCACCTTTCACACCAAAATCGTTGTTATCCCCAAGAATACCGCGTACCGCAACAACAAGCAAGAGAAGCGGGGTTTTGTCTTCAGTAAATAAACTTGCAGGGTATGATTATAAAGTCCTTAAATTCACCCGACCCCATGCCAGCTCTTACCTGTAAGTAGTGTTCTTTGTACTGGAGATATGTTGAGAAAAACTTTCTTTGTGGGTGTGGCGTGTAGGTTACTCTCAAGCGAATCCCAATAAGCTCCCCTGGCAGTGTGTTACCCTTTTATCTTCTGACATGACAGAGCTACTGCAACAGAGTTTCCCTATTTTTTTTTTTACCTTCAAAGTTTCTGTCTACAATAAGTGCAGAATGCCTGTAGCAGCGGTCAAGTTCTTCAGGATATCAATCCACCATAGGGGTCACACCATGCAGAGAGTATTCAACTTCAGTGGTGTCTTTGACCTTCTGTTATTACCCTCACTTGCATTAGTAGGGTGCTGTCAAAGGATAAAACCAGGACCAGGGATCTGTCCTAAGGAAAATCTGGATTTTTTCCTTGGTCCGTGAAGGATGATCAAGACCTAAAAACACTGGTCAAGTTCGGCATCCCCTGTGAATGTGGGACAGCATATGTTGCAGATGGGAAAGTTGTTAGTTATTATGGTCACAGTAACAGCCTGTTCCAAGAAAATGGCAGTTATTTTTGAACAAGTTTGTTCAAATCTAATACATCTAGCTCAGGTGATGAAAAAAAAAATCGGTTGTCTTTTATGTAGATTATTGTACAAAGCTGTTGCTACAATTTCTTAAATACTGATAGCACTTTAATTGTTGAAGCAAAAATGAGCCTGACCAGTGAAAGTAAAACCTCAAGATGAGTGTGAAGTATACATGTGGATTGCAGTTTTGCTTGATTAGATTACACTTATAAAAACAGCATCAATTGTAGCAGAATAATTCCACATTTCACTGCTCTTCTGTGTAATTAAATATATTGAAAATCTGTTGAAATAAATGCTTGGAAAGAAGTAAGAATTTGAGGAATTGAACAATCTTGTCACATACACGTTAAGGTAATAACAGGGTAATCGAATAATTCCAGGATTTCATCATTTGATATACCAGAAAATTTGAGACATGTGAACATGATGTTTGTATTGGAATGTGAAAAACACTTTCCATGTTTTATTGTCTTCTGTCCCATGTAATGCTAGTGTCATGATGATTGTTGGTGCACATTGTCAGTTGTGTTGTGGTATTCGCTGTGTTCAGCATAATTTTAAATGTACATGTGGAACAAAAGCACCTAGTGACAAATCAGTTAATCAGTAGCTTACTTAGTTTAAAGAAACTGGGAGTGTTGGAGTGTTGAGAAGTATAAATTACTAGTAAGACCATGAACATGCAAAGTGATTGTGGAATTCATTGGGCAGTCGTGTGTAAGGAGCCTGAAAAAATCTCTTTCATTGCAGTTTGGAATGTGGTGTACCTAAAATTGTGATCCAGAATGTGCTACATAAGGGCCTTTCCCTGAGACACTTCCTACAGTTTGTGTATAACATGAGACTGAATTAAATGGTGTGTAAGAATGATGTTATTTTAAAATGAATATTAACTTTTGTTTTAGGAGATTCAGCTTATCGGGTCGTTCAAACCAGTCTGTGCAAGTTGTATTCAAGACTGCTTATCATGTTGTAGAAAGCTTTGGTTTCCCACTGCCTGTTTTGGTCACTGAAGCACTAACATTTGCGGATCGTAAGTTACAAAAATATGGTAGTTTAACTTGTTAAATATAAATAAAACATACATAATTATGTATGTTTTATTTATATTTAACGTACAGTTTACAACTGATTCAAAGGTTGGTCTATATTAATAAAGTTCTCTTTGTGACATCATAGGACATGTACATTCTATGATATTAGGCTCGTATTGATGAAAAATATAATACATGAGGTCTAGCTTTTTAAAACATTGACTTTGTAGTAGTTCAGTGATTTATTTGTTGAAAAATTTTGGTTTAAATGAATTTGGGCTGAAAATAAATAAGCTCCACCAGTAAGTATTGTCATGTGTTTTAGTGACTTAAAATGGACTGGGTTTGGATTGCTGAGTCGATTTATGCGATATTCATCTGTTGCAACTACAAATTATTATAACATTCTCAAGATTACTGTAATTATAACACATGTCAAGACACATACCAAGTCTTCTCAGGCTGACTTCCAATTCTTCTCTAACAACTAACTTTCTGCGGCTATATCTCACCGACAACTCTCCCTCAACTGCTTTGGTTATTCTGGGAATCTCATTATATATCCGTGGCATGGACTGCACAGGAAATATCTCTTCTATTGTAAGAATCACTGTTCACAGAGAACCCAGCTCCTGTTTTCGCTTGGCACAGATCACATAGAAAACACATTCCGAACATCGTATCCCAGAAATCCCTCTATTGTTATAGAGATGTGTTTACTTTGTTGTTTCATAGAAATGGCAATTATTCTACTGTTATCCATGTATTTGTTGCCACGAGAGTGTTGCCTAGAAATGGCCCATATGCCACAGTATCCTTGCTCGTAATCATAGAGATGCCTTATTGGCATACCTTCTGCCTGGAATACTGTTGTGTACTGACCAAGGCCGAAACTGTGTTTCCGCCCTGTTCCATCACAATACACTCAGCTCCAGTGCCTTTATTTGTCTTGGAGCCATCTGTGTACCAGATTAGTCCCCCCTTTCTGTCGGGTTGAAACCCCTCTTTCCATTCATGTCTGTCAGAAAATCTGATCATGAAGGGTTATTATAGACATGTTTCAGTATCATTTTATCAGACCCCATCTCTCAAGAGGGTATCTTCAAGGTGTCTGCAAAGTTAGTCAGAAAGCATACTGCTTCAAGTACTCTGGATTGTGGGTGGGTAGGTACACGTAGATAGACAGGTAGACACATCTTAGAAATGGATTCCTCCCCCATTCCAGATGCCTTGAAGATCATCTAGACTATAGCTGGATGCACTGACCAGAGCTACAATATGATGTGTGCAGTTTGATAATTTATTATAAAGCAAATAATATTGAGACATTCTGAACAGCTTCCTGTTCCATGTCAGGCGCTGTTAGCTGTGTTCTCTTCAAGTATTTGAATATGAATATTGATTTATAAAAATTACAGTATCTCCACAATTTTAAATTGTAATACTAAGAAACTTTACATTGTATTTCAAAGATATTTCCAGTTCAAGATGAGAATTTGGAAGAATTTAAAAAAATCAAGATAGAATGAAAATTTTCTCTAATAGACTTTTTTTTTTCATTGTAGCCACTTTTCCACAATGTACTGAAGTGTACTAAGTATCCCTTTTTAATACTGGATACTTTTTCAGTGAAAAGTTTTCATAAGTCAAATTTTAAAAAATTCATTTCACGTTTGTGTGCAGAAAATGAAGAGTGACCAGATTTTGTGTACAGGTTTATTTAAATTTGTGTTGCCAATCACAGTGATTCAGGTGAATCAAATAGTTTTTGTACTGCTACAAAAAGCAAGAGCAATTACCAAACATTTTCAAAGTTTGAGACTGAAAAATTTACTTTCAGATCAAGATTCAGATATGGTTTTTTCACTTCATCCTAAAATGTGTGAGAATTGCACGTATGTACGACATATGGTAGTGCAGTTGGTTGAGGCACTGTACTACAAGCTGGAAGGTCATGGGTTCAGTTGCTGATGAGGTCACTGGATTTTTTCAGTTTACCTAACCTTCCAACTGCACTATGACCCTGGGGTTGACTCAGCTTCAAGCAGAAATGAGTACCAGGAATCTTCCTTGGAGTAAAGGGCAGGCGGCACTGAAGGCTGACAACATCGCCGCCATCTGTGAGCTGATTGTCTATAAAATGTCGGACCCTCGATGTCTCATAACCGTATTGGCCTTGACAGCCTGTTACAGGGAAAGCTTTACCTTTGCACATATGTGAAGTTTAATATCATTAATATTTTTTCAGGCAGCACTGCTGTTAGTGTGCACATATCAGCTGATGGTTGGGCCTGGTTTGTTTGTGGTCGACGACTTCTTATATGGCAGTGCAAGCAAACATTGGAGTCAAGGAGACAGCAACATGTTCTTAGCAGCCAGTGTCGGGAACTGACCCTGCCACCAAGTGACCTTGCTCACAGGGCTGATTTGGTTTCTGTATACATTGCAGAAGGTAGCCAAGTAAGTATATCCAGTCCGCTCATTGGGAAGTTGAGCTTCTCAAGGTTGTCAGAATGAACGTTAATGCCTTATGAGATATGATATCAGTTAACTCCAGCCCTTATCCTCCCTTCCCTATGTCACTAACTGATTTTTCCCATACTGCATACTCTTCTACCCTGAAGATGGAGACAGTAGGCTTCTCTAAAATGTTTGTACCTATCTGTCAAACTACACATCTCAAAAGATGATCTTCAGCTCACTGAAAGGCTGTCAATTCTTCAATTGCAGCATACTTTTGTTTATGTGTGGATTGTACTTAATAAAATTCCAGCAGAAGAATCTGACATTATTAATACATTTTATATCTTTCATTAGAAACCTGTATTACTTGAATCTGATTCCCGATAGGGTCAGGAATTGTTTTATTGATCACCATATCCATATCCTATATCGGGTCTGGCAGGTTTCCTGTCAGATGAATACTGAGGGTGACCCCTCAAATGCATGGAGCTTAATCTCCATTCAAGTATGTGCTTTGTGATGTGATTATCTAGTACAGGGAAAGTTGTACCTTTACTTTGAGACCTCCACATAAGGTGTTCGTCTTTTTACTGTGTAAAAGTGCCAGTTATATATAATAAATATGGAGCATTTCTTCATAATGTCAGCAGCCAGCAAGAACTGTTTGTAACAAAGATGCAATAGGAACTAATTTTTATTGAAAGCAACAATAAATGCTAGGCATTAAAATTTAGATTTGGGTTTCAACCAACAACAGCAGTAATTTCTGAGTCTTGCTAGGGAACACTAATTTCATCTGCTGTGCTCAAGTATTTCTAAGTTTTATTGATAAGAACTGATAATAATGGATTTTACATTTCTTGATGTAACATATATAATTAACTCGTGGAAGGAAAGAATAACAGAAATCTCTTTAGAGCAGTGCAGTAAGCGTTGAAAGTTGGCACTAAATGAAGGAGCGCTGTAGAGACACAGTAATGTAATGCATGACCAGTTATACTGCAGACAGGCCAACACAGTAGTATGATGATAAGTGTTAAGATTTTGTGGAGGTATGTCTCCACTTGCCCCCATTTATTGTGATGTTGAACAACAGGCAAATGTTGGCTTTGTCTGTTATTCCTCTGGTCCATTGATTGTGTGTTATACAGTTGTATAGTCATTGCAATAATTTTATTGCTGCGTGACTTCTTGCAGGGTGATAGTATTCATATATCAAGTTTTATGCTCCTGAACCTGTAATGTTACACATATTTACTGTATGGTATCTGCTATGCCTGTATCATTAGGTATGCAACTTTAAGAACATATACCTCCCAACTAGCTTTCTGAATGCACTCAGAGTTACTGGCTATGTACTTATGTAGGCTGTGAACCTCATGGACTTGAATTTCCATCCAAGACTGTGTGATCCATTCTGAGCACACCTTGGTACTTTAACAACGATGGGGTCCAAGAAGATCGATACATGACCACAGTGCCCAGTGAAATAAAAAAGGGAAATACCAAATACTTAAGAAAATCAGAAAACCACACTAATACACTAGCAGTGAACCTACTAGACAGTAGCAAAACAACACATGGATGGAAGAGATACGCTGTCCTAAGTCTACCAGACAGATCTCAGTAAAACCGCAATTCATTCATTCATTCATTCATCAGTAATCTGTCAGACGACTGGTCCACAGTCTCTTCCAAAACAGTTCCAATGCGATCTAGAGCTTTCTCCTTCAAATGAGAATATCCTCTTCTGTCCCCAAGGACATCCAGCATCTTCTTACATCTTTTTCTTTGTATTCTGGTCACTTCTATCTGCCCCTCTATCTTTCCTTCAATAACTTCTTTTAGAAGGCAGTTACTGTGTAAGATATGACCAATCCAGTTAGCCTTCCAAAAAAAAAACCCCCGCAATAAAAGACTGAAAATGATACCTAAGTGAAAAAAAAGTATATGGGTTATGCCACAGAGCACAACTCATTCATGAGCCAATACTTATTGAACATATACATTTATTGCAGATTCTGCAGAATATGTCTAATAAATTGTGTGTGTGTGTGGCTGGGGATTTAGCAGTACATTCTTCCACCTGGACTGGGGCTTCGCTTAGTGAGGGGTGGAGTCTAACTGGGTCCACTCAGCATGGCAGCCACTGATTGGCCTATTGTAGCCTGCCCCAGGTGATTATGATGATGGAGAATTTGGTGGAATGAAGATTGGCAGGGGAAACCGAAGCACTCGGAGAAAACCTGCCCAACGCTACTTTGTCCACCACAAATCCCACTTGACCAGACCCTGGATCGAACCCGGGCTGCTGTGGTGGGAAGCCAGCGACTAATTGCTTGAGCTATGGCACGGCCTGGACTGGGGCTCGGTATGCCACATGTGTTTGGAGCCAGAAATCATCAAATCACAGCTTGAGTGTAATTACACAGAAGTGAAAATGCTGAAGTGTGTAATGAGAGAATTTCAAATAGAAGTTTAACATAGGCGCCATCATTTTTACACATGTGATAAACACTTGTATTATGACAGTGATTATATTTCAATAGGTGCCATCATGTATTGCTGTTTCGCCCGAAGGAACCCTGCGCTATTGGCCAAGTATTGCGCATGAGGGAACATCTGTAGAAGATAATGCAGATCTTCAAGGTCAGGAATGTGACTCTCTGACTGATATTGCTCCAGTTGGATGTATACTTGCAACAACCACATCCACAATTGTACTAGTTCAACCCCAGATAACTGGAGGTCGCCATTCTATTGCGTGTCGCACGCTGAAGGCACCCCAAGGATGGCTTGGTGGTATTGGGCGTAGAGTGTCTTCACTCATTTTTGGAGGCCTACCAACTTCGCAAGTTATGGAAACTGTGAGTACTTCTGAGGATTTTGGTGAAAAATTCATTATTATGTCTTGTATAGTTCAAATATTACTAAATAAAAATTATTTTAAAGCAAAAATTAATTAAGCATTTAAAAAATATTACCACAGGCCACCCATAACTGCAGTATTTAAATGACCATGCTATAGGGTAAATTGCAATATTTATGTCTTCTTTTCAAACTCCACACTGCCATTTGTCTGTTACTAACTTGATTCATTTTAGTAACTAATACCTTTATCGTCCCTCTCTTCGGTACTTGCAATGGCTGTAATTCAGTTTCACATATGTTAGTTGAAAGAAGAGTCAGTGTAGTAAGAAATGACCACAGATGTCATGAGTCCATTGCTGCAGGCTTGGAAGATGGTTTTGTGTTGTCTCCAGGCACTCCCCTCAGTCCTACCTCTCTAGTGTTGTTACTTTGTGCAGTTCTGTTGTCGGAATGATCAAGAACCCTTCGCCAGAAGCCCACCAAACTACATCAGACTTACAGTTCATCATTTTCTACATGCACACCTGTACAGGCAGTGACCACTACATATGTTCCACAGTTTTTAAATATGTATAATCATGTGTTGTACATTTGTTATTTTCTTAAGATCAGCTTTATTTCACTGGAGTGTAGTGTTTGGGTCTGTATGTCTGCAGACAGCCTGTCACTCTCCAGCTTGTATGAGACATATGGATCAGATTGGGAGTATGACACTAACAGTGGAACCAGAGATAGTGGGCATTGCCTAGTCTTCTTGTAAGCAGGTAGCAACTGAGTAAGAAGGCAGGCAGGTGCTTCAGATAATTGAATGATTATATTTCATGCTGAAGAGGCTGGCATGCAAAAGTGTAATAGTAGCAGTAAATATAATATTCTGGCATTGTATATCTCATGTACTAAAACTTGGCAATGACATTTCTTAAAGGGATGTTTACTGTACATTTTCCATCATCCCCTGGACTGGGTTTAGAGATTAGGTCCATATAATGGATCTAGCAGAGTATGTTTCATACTTTTACGTGGTGATGAAAACAGAGTCAGCTTTTGAAACATTGTTTCTTTAAGCAAAACAAGGTGATGGTTAATAACCAGCATATGTATCAGTTTAATAACAAAGCTTTAAGCTGTTTTCTTTTTTTGTTCCTTATGTTCAGAAACTTGTGAAAGTCATAGCGGTGGATGGTTCGGGATTTGAATCCGATGAGTGGCGAGTTTATGTCTTGGCTGAACATTCTCTGCAGAAGTGGATTCTAGTTCCAGGCGAAGTTGAAAGACTGGTGTATGAATTTGATGTTAATCGGATGGTGAGGGAGGCTTTCCATGAGACTGTCTGGGTGAGTTGCGTTTAGTGAGAATTTTCAGGAAGCAACCTGATGTGAGCAGAAGGAGTGTTAACAGTTGACCTGGCACAGTTGAGCACAGTTATATATGAAAATTACTGACTTCTGGCGTTGTAACTGTAGAAAGGTGCCAGTGTTATGGAGGAACCTGCTGGCTCCATTTTGAGGGAAAACTGAATCCTGAAGATGGAGACAATAGGTTTCTCTGAAATGTTTGTACTTTACTGCCATGCTACATACCATCACATTGCAGAAGACCATAATCTTGATAGTCAGTCTTGTGAGAACCTCAAATTTCAGGCATTTGTTTTCCTCCTGCTCCCTTATTTCATTTCATTTATTCGCCTTCCATAAATCCTGTCGAGAGTACATTCTCATGCGGATGTGGAGATCCTTTTTTCTCTTTTTTTTTAATTCATTCTTTCTTATTGAATAATCTCTGTATATTGTAGATTATATGTAATTTATAGTACCAGCCAGATTCATGGAACAGCAGCGACCTTCACTCGTTTTTGGGAGATACCTGGTTCTCATCACAGTCAGGTTACTGGTTGTCATGATGGTCGTCTTAGCCTCTGTGAATGGCACATATCCTTGCAAACTGACATTCATGATCATCTTCTCACACCATTTGCTGTTTGCTGTGCAATCTCTATAGTTAAAACAATCTCATTGAATAGTATAAGAACTGGTCACTTATAATTTATGTGAAGAGAGAACTGTTCTTAAGTAAACTGTCAAAAATAAAAGGTCTCCTTGAATGCTTACTTATGTCCAAGGGACTGAGCATATGAGTATATCTACATTATTTGTATAGTTTAATATTAATATTATATTTGCTGCAGGTGACAATAACAAGCACAGTACTCCAGTGAAGATGAAACCTTACATGTTGTGATGGTTGTGTCTGGATCTGTGACAGATTCCCACTAGATTTCGTGAATAAATTCCTCTTATTGTCGGTTTTATTTTTAAAATTCTTCTTGCTCATGTTTCCCTTTCTCTGCCTCCTCCTTGTTTTCTAATTCTGGTGTTTCCATTTTATGTGGGTCAGTGGACAATGTTGCAAATCTCTTTCTTTCTTCCCACAATCTTCTTCCCTTTTCAATTCATTGTCAGTTCTTTCCTCTCTTCTTGGTGTTTACTACTGCATAACTAAACCATCTTGTTGTTGGTTATCCCATAGCTTTAAATTTTAAGTATATAGTAGATCAACTGTATGTTTAATCCCCATGTGAGCAAATGCATTTGATTGTCAAAAATTTTTATAGGCCGCTGGCCAAAGTGCTATGATACAAGATACAAGAATATAATTCGTCTTATTATTCACTTTGTAATGTCGTTCTAAGAAGTAGGTAAATTAAATGTTGTTACTACAAGATTTGACAGTTAAGTTCCAGGACTGAGTCCATTACATGCAATTAAAAAGCACATAGGAACAAGCTTCAGATTGTCTGTGTAACCTGACTCTTCCATCGTGTTCCCCTTGCAAGGTCAGTCACGTCTTGTTGTCGTTTATGTTCAGTCATGTTTAAGCTGCAGTACCATGCAGATTGTTGTGACAGTTCGTAGTGATGAATCAAAGAGCAAACATTAAATTTTGTTACAAGACGGGCAAAACAGCTACTGAAAATTTACAGCTGATAAAACAGGCTTATGATGACAATGCTGTCTTGTACAAGGGGTTTTTAATGTTATTTGAATAATTTAAAGTTGGGCATGGGGATCTTTAGGATTATCCAAGAAGCGGGCATCCTTCAACCTCTGGAAATGCAGATAACAATCGCAAAAGTCCGTGAAATTGTAACATGAGATTGCCAGTGTCAGGTGGATGAATTAAACATCAACCAGGCGATTTGTTAATCCTCGATGAAGATGTGTGGAAGAGGCAGATCTGCACAAAGTTCTTCCCACACAGACTCACAGATGAGTAGAAGCAAGTGATAGTCACATCATGCCAAGGCTTCATCCAGGCAGTCCCAGTTTTCTCTTTCATAAGGTGAAAACTGGGCTCTCACAGGAAAGAGGTTTCAGGATGTTGAAGACATTTAGAAAAATGTGATGGCTGAACTTAATGCTGTTCCTTTGGAGGCCTTTGGTGACTGTTTCAAGATGGCAGAAATTACTTTGAATAGAAATAAAACAGTTTTATATTTCCTTATATTTTTTCACACCAGCCCTTGAACTTTATGGCCATATCTTGTAAAAGATTGTATTTCATTATGTACCTAGAAGTGCAGATTTCTAGTAATGCAAAAAGTCACACTTAGGTGTTAGCCAAAATATAAACATTGGCCACTATAGTAGCTGTACTATAGTTTATGTAAGTATCCTGTTGGTGGCCAAATAAGCTGAAACATGTTGCATGTTAAAGAAAGTGAATACACTTAGTACAGTTTTATATAGTTGTATTTGGCAGAAGCCCATTTACTAGTAATAATAATTACATTAGTTAATTCCTAGAATTGTTTGTGCATGACCATCACTGTGATGGTCTGCTCCAGTGAAACTAATGGTTTTCCATAGTGGAAGCAGTCACAGGTCCATCAGCCTAAAAAGCATATGGAAATCAAGCATCTGGAGAGTTGTGAAAAGCAAATTGTTTTAACATGTTTGATAAATGTTTGGAAAAATACATGTTATTAGCAGTGAAGCAAATTTGAGAATTGACATGAGAATTCATGTCTCTTTCTGTGTCAGGTGCTTTTGCTGTCCATCAAGAAAGGCAGGACACACTTAAATTACCATCTTGCAAGAAAAGGAAGAGAGAAAAGAGTGTACTCAGGCAGTGTAATGCTTTTGTTAAAATACATGTCAAATCTAAAGTTTTTTTAACCCTCACACTGCTGCGGTCGACATATGTCGATCTCTGAAAAACATGGCGTCCTTGCTGCGATCGACAAAACCTGTATTGCAAATTTAGAGTTTCAAATCTCAGGTTTCTTTGCACCAATCGCATTCAAACTTGGCAGGTGCATAGAGTAATCTATTGGGAACGCAGTCAATCATCATTCATTTCAATGGCTATATTCTTCTGCCCTCTAGCTTAAAAAATGTAAAAGGTTGCATCTGCACAGCGAGGCATGCATTCCATGGTCATGTGATGCGGGTATTTCACAGGGCTAGTAAAAGTGGCTTCGTATAGTGCACAGTGCTTTCTGTAATAGTTTTAAATAAAGTTGTGGATTTGGGTCAACATGTGACTTAGTAATAAGACTAGGATAGTAAATTATGTACTTTTTTGGCCATTTTGGACAACCCTGATTTAAACGGACTTTTACCCTGTGAAAAATACTGAATAATTCAACATTTTTGCAACTTCTGCTGCCTGTTCCTTACCTGAGGTAAGATTAGTTATATTTTATCACAAATTTTCATACTTTGCACTTAAATTATTTATAAAAGATTTATTCAAAAATAATTCAGCACAGAGGGTACTGAGAGTTACTTAACATACTAGCAGTGAAAGGGTTAATGAACTGCCTACATTAGACAAGACGTTGATTTGTGTGGAGAGTGGTCCTGATTTGCATCTCATAAGAAGAACAGTATTCTGCAGACCTTTGCAAGATACATGGGTTGAGTTTCAAATGAGAAAAGGTTGAATGTCCTCATCAGTACAGACAGTATTATTTTGCAAGACTGCCACTCTGTGAATTTAATGTTACCTGTGTCATGTTGAAGGGCTAACAGGCTAGATATAACAAAACCATCAAACATCAGGAGGTAGTTACTATATGATTCTATAGGAGGTCCAGTGATTGAGGCTAGCTCTTTCTAACGGACCCAACAGAATAGGTGTTTTCCTTCACCTGAGGACGGAAACAGATCCAGTTTCCGAAACGTCGTGTTTTTATTTGTTATCTTAAAAACCAGGATGATGGATGAAGTCCAAAAACCCAATATATCAGGAGGTACTTCAGCTGGTAGATGCAGTAACAGGAGAGGTCACTGTTGAGAGGTGGGAAGATGGCTGTTCATCATGTGATCCAGGAAGAGCAGAGGTTGTGAAAATTGGCTGATATTGCTGAAAATGTGGTGGGGCGGCTTGTTATAAACACTGGAGATGACAAAATTTCCAGCAACATGTTTGATTCATATTCTGGCTTAGAAGGAATAAATCAACTGTCTGACAGCAATTAATTGTTCCCGTGACGTCCTAATTATTAACAGTATTTGTACATTATTATGTAACGTATTAAAGTTGGGATTTGTGGCCCATGTAGCAAATTAAAGGGTTGTCTGATGACAAATGATTGGTGTATGATGTGTTCATATTGTCTTAATATGTGGTTGACTAGGTGGAGTTTTCTGATATGAGATAGATATGTGAAAAACATGGCAGTCGTGGCAGCTTGAAACACAATGATATTCATTCCCACATTTAAATCAGGGTTAATGTTATGGTGATTAGACAGTAGTGCCTTTTTTTTATTGCTAGTGGGGTGGGACTAAGTCCCTTGTACTGCAGCCACTTCTGGCCTATTGTACCAACCCCAGATGATAGGTGAGGGTGACTTTGGAGCAGTTGGTGCAATGAAGATTGGCAGGAGAAACCGAAGTACTCGGAGAAAACCTGCCCCAGCACTACTTTGTCCACCACAAATTCCACTTGACCAGACGCGGGATCGAACCTGGGCTGCCGCAGTGGGAAGCCAGTGACTGCTTGAGTTATTGTGTGGCCCAGACAGTAGTGCCATTCTTAGTATCCTTGTTCTATCCATTGCTTCTGCATAGCTAAACTGCTGTAATTGTTTCTCATCCAACTCTGTTAACAAATTTTGAATTTTATCTTTTTTAAAAATTTCTTATGTAATTCTGTCTCTTCTTGTTTTTCCCTCATTAGTTCTCAAAAATTTCATATCCATTGCTTGGATTTTCCTTTTTGTGTCTCTTTGTAATGGTTTGTGTTTCAGTATTGAGTGGATGTGTATCCATGTATTCTTGACCTTGGCACTAGTTGGAGGTGAGCGGTGAGCTTCACTTCCTGGCCGCTTAAATATACTTTGTAGTTTAAAATTATAAATATGGAAGCTGATACTATCTCTGAGTATTTTTTTTAGAGTTAAAAGAAATAATTTTGAATGGCATTCATGATACATGAAGTTTTCACTTAGTGACTGTTCTCAGTTCTTGTACTGTGTAGTCCGACAGGTGGTAACCTATGTGTTACTGCCTCGGTCTTCAGGGTGTGGGCACTTTTACCCTGAAGATGGAGGCAGAATGTTCTTTCAAAACATTAGCAATGACCTTGCAGGCCATGTGGTTTCACAACCTGTAAGACCATTGTTAAAATCTTTCAATATGTCTTGACAGTAGTGTTATTTTTAACAAAATCAGGATGTGCCCTCTCTGAGCTTTGATCCAGGTACCCCCATATGCCACTATTCCAGCCTGTTCAGTTTTGTTGAATACAAATGTGAAGTGTGACTTTGAGGTCAATGCAATGACAAATGCTAATTTGTTGCTTCAGGAATCGTGTGCAGGCAGCCTGACAGAACTGGATGTTTGGTTACTAGATATGCAGCCTGTGGATGGGGGAGTCATGTTGCTGGCCGCTGCTGTCAATACACAGCTGTCTCCTCAGTTGCACTATGCACTTGGTTAGTCTTTGGGCCACATTGCATATTTTTAATATTAGATATTTTGACTACCACGGAGATCACTAGAGTCTTGGTATATTTGCGATAACCAGTGTCTCCTGCAGAATGTTTATCTCACTGCCATTGTCTGCTCTCTGCTGCTTGGATGTGTTTTCAGGTCACTACCTTGTGATCACTGGTTTCGCACATTCTTTAAGGGTGTGTCTGTTATGGTTGGCGGGTGCCTTGTACGTATCAGAATGTGTGATAATTCACAATAGAGTAAAATTGATACACATCTCAACAGAGAGGCCTGCAACAAAATTATGAAAATCTTTGGTGACCCAGGACAGAAATGTTAAAAATCATGATGGCAGTTAACATGTTAATTTTTAACCCTTTCAGTGGTCACTTAAAATTAAATTTGTTTGCTCAAGTGTGATTCAGTATAATGCTGCAGTCTTCTGTGAAACAAAAGAACTACACGCAGTAGCTATCACACTCTCCGATGACATGCTGGTATATAACAAATACAGCAATACACTGAACCTGAAAGTTTTATGGAATATACGGGGTACAAGGGGGGGAGTGAATTACAGGAAAGTTCTGTGAATATGACTGAAACATGTAGGGTCCTGAATACTGCCTGATCATGATCATCATTAAAGTGGGCTGTTCTTGCAGATGGACATAAAAAGGTAAAGTTGTCCCTGTGCTTAACTAACTGCGCTTAAATCCAAGTTTTCTTGACCTTTGCACTAATTGGAGGTGAGTAGTTGGCTTCACACCCCGGCTGCTTTACCAGTGGGGAAAGAGTACCCATTGGATAAGAGGCTAGTGGAAAACACAAAACAACCTGCACTGCAGTGTAATTGCATTATTCTGTGTTCATAATAAAACTGGAAGCTGTTCTGGGTTATGAGCATGTAGAAAGAATGAAGGACATATGAATACAGTTAAGTTATTCACATGTTAAAAGATAAATCAGATTGAATCCCAGTCCTGTACCTCTAATGATACAAAGCTCCAAACCACATTTTATCAACAAAGAAAGAAAAATGTAGCAAGGGTGTCAGTTTGCCTGTAGCTGACAGAAAGGAGGGCCATGGTTTATTGGCATCAGAATCGTGATATTAACTTCATTTTGATCCCTTGGAGTACTCTTATCAAGCTGAATTACAAATATAAATTACATCACATTTTACAGACATTACCTATGTAATCTTAATGAAGTAATGTAACACTTTGACTGGCACTGTGATTTATTTTCTATCCCAAGCCAATTGAGTAATACGATCTTACACTGTTGTGAGATTGCATGAATTCAGTGGACACATGATGCTGGCATCAGAATGTGTCTGAGTGTTACAGAACAGACGCCATTGGCGACCATGGCAGGCTGTGAAGGTTCTGCATTGGTCTGTGGTGGCTGCCGTGGTGCATATCATAGATTCTGCAGTGTATATGAGTTGCCATGGTAGCAATGAGCATGTTGTGGCTGAGTTTGTTTCAGTCATGCCATTGTACTCTGCAGGTTATATTAATTCATTTGAATTCTGTGGTGCTGCTGAGTTAAAAGAGAGCTTCACAAAGATTTTTGTTCAAATCCAGGAAAAAAGAACTTTGTTTTCAGTGACTTTTATATAGCAGCCAAAAACTTGTGAACTGCTAAGTGTATGAACTTATTATTTATAAAGTTTGTCATTTTTATGATGAAGTATGGCATAATGCATTTATGTATATTGAAATGAAGAGGACCCAGATGAATCCCTTTAATCTTGCTATGTGAATCTGAATGCACACTTTTTATGTACAGGGAAGCTACCCACTGAACAAATGAATCCACCAGTAAAATTTTCTGCATTTTATCCTTTGAAAAATACCGGCTTCTATCGAGAAGAGGATGAAGCTGAACTGCTGTCATACCAGTTTTTGCTGGTCAATCAGGTTGCATATTTATACAACCACAAAGCTGTGCTAGCTGTTTCAGGTGAATATTTTGGTTTAAATATATCAAAATATACATTAATTTTTGTTGTAATGTTAATTTATACTAATAGAAATTTATATTCTATTTCTTTAGTGGCAGCACTTAATGAAGAACCGGACACCATAGAATTTCTGGGCCCTGGGGATCGTGTTTTGGGTGGAGCTGTTTGTGGGAATGTTGCTGTGTTTTTCTCAAAGATTCATGGCTTGGTCTCAGTGTTACCCTCTGATTTTTCTCCACAAGATTTGAATAGGTAAGACCAGATACCCCTCACCAACAACAGACATAAAGTGATTTCCTCTGACTATAGCTGGCCATGTATGGTTAAGTAAATCTAGACTTGCATGCATTTTATATCAATGGTAGACTTGATGCTGTAAATGTCACTTACTAAATGGTGATACTCAGACTGCATTCTGTAGCTCCCCAGGGCTTCTGTGATATTAAAATTATCAGCTAGAAATTAATTTTCATATGCTGCTCATTATCAGATGAGAGGATGAACACGATTTAACACATTCGTGTGTGTACAGGTGCATTTGAGGGAGGGGGACATGGGCGGGAGGACATGTACATGTGTAAGAATGAGCTGAACTTGTGAACCTCTGTGAGAGTGAGGCTCTCATAATAGTATATGTGGGGACATCATAAAATTGTAATTATCACCCAGAAGAAACAGAGACAAAAGTGCAAGAAATTGTATGTGAGTTAGTTCTTCTGTAAATGTGCCCCCCTGCAAGGCCACACATTTTCCCCAATGATGCATTAGCTGCTGGATACCTTGATCATAGAAGGTCTCATTTTGACTGTTTAGGAAGTCCTCCACTGCAGAAATGACATCATCATCTTGGAATCGCTTCCCATGAAGTGGCTTCTTTAGCCATGGAAAGAGGAAGCAGTCACTCAGTGCCAGGTCTGGTGAATATGGTGGATGGGGGCGAATTTCATATCTTAAACTGACAGCAAGTGTCATTGTAGCACGAGCCGGTGTGTCATGAAGAATTTTTACACCTTTTCCTAGTATTCCCCATCGCTTTTTCTTGATCTATTCCCGTAATTTTCTGAGAAGGTTTCATAGTACCTGCCAGTGATGGTGATACCCTTTTGCGCATAGTCGGTCATGATGACACCATCCCAGACCACGCTCAACATCACCTTTCCTGACGACGGCTAGGATTTGGCCTTCTTTGGTGGCAGCAAGTCTGCATGTTTCCACTGCTTGCTCATTCCCTTTGTTTCAGGGTCATAATGATAGACCCAACATTCATCCAATGTGATCAGGCAGTCGAAAAATCCCACCTTTTCTTTTTGACACAACTGCAAAAGTTTCTTTGTCACATCCATCCATTCCTGTTTTTGAACTGGTATCAACAATCGTGGCACCCAACGTGCAGTGACCTTTGTCATGTGTATCTCATCATGAATCATGTTGAAAACCGACCCATGGCTAATGCATACATCATGAGCAATAGCTACGATAGTTATGCGCCTATTGGTTAGGATCAAAGCTTCCACCTGTGCCACAATTCCTGGTTCCTCAGCAAGAGATGGTCTTCCACTTCAGGGTTCATCTTCGAGGTTTGTCTGCCCACAATGAAAGCGCCACTTCCACCTGACCACTGTGTCATATGAAGGTACACCTTCCTGATGCACAGCAGCCATCTGGTCGTGGGTCTCCCTGGCAGACTTCCCTTGCAAATGCAGGAACTGTATCACCATGCAACCCTCCATTTTCTCAACTGATGTCACCATTTTGCTTCTGCTCCTTCTGGTGGCTCCCTATGTCCACTTGGCATGGGAAAATTTGACTGTTCAGCAAGCGCAGAAAATGGGCTATTTCCTATGTGGAACAGTATTTTGGAATTATGATCTTCTCATGATGATATTTAAAACATGACTTCCCACCATATATGAAGCTTACTTTCATCTAGGATGTGCTGCTGTGTGTCTGTCTTCAGGGTGCAAGAGACTTCTACCCTGATGATGAAGGCAGCAGGTTTATCCAGAACTTTGGTACCTTTCTATCACACTACACAGCAGCACATCCCAGAAGAGGGTAATTTTCAATTGAATTTGTCTTTATGTCTATGTGTTAGTGTGACTGTAACATTTAAACACATTAAGAAGTATTTATACAGTCTCCGTGTTGTATTTTGCAGCAGCATGAGTTTCAGTGAGGCTCCTGGAGCACTGGATGTGACAAGTTCCCAGTTTTCAGAAGGCATGAACATTTCTGTGACAGCAGCTGAACTGGAAGAGCTGACTGTCAGTAAGGATCATACTGCGCAGATGAAGGCAGCATTCATCTACTACATTAAAAAGAATATGGTTAGTTCTCTGATCAGTACTGGGAGGTCTAACGAATGGCAGTCAATATGTCATACATTATTTCCTGTTTCAGAACCAGAGTGAAGCTATTGTGAATCAAATGTTTCCACCTGAAGAGGAACCTATCATTGACATTGACGCTGTTCTTGACACCATTGTTGTGAAAGTGAGCCAGGATCTAGTGAATGATATCCCTGCTGGCGATCCCCGTTGGATAGAAATGAGGGTTCCAGGTATGTCTGGTGACTATGTAAGGTAGTCAGATTTTTTATATCTGAGGTACTTAAGACAGTGAAGAAGATCGGAGTCTTGTGGAACGTAATGCCGTATATTCAGGTATTTGTGTATCATTGTTTGAGGAAAACTTTTTCATACCACTTTCAGGGTACTTTTCTGCAAAAACGGTGGAGGGCCACATTCCTCTGGAACATCAGTGAAAATTTACCATATTACATGAGGTCACATAACAGAAGACAATAATCTTTGTAATCTGATTTTTATCCGTCATAAGTTTTTTTTTATGTTCAGCATGTAGTAAAACCTCATTCATTCAAAATGCACAGGACTAAAAAGTCAGACTTTGAATTTCTGTGTTTTGAATTACACAATTATTTTCACTGAGGACTACCTAAAGAATAACAGAAGTGTATGGAATCAACGTGACCGGATGGTTGTATGCAGCCTTGATACAATCTAGCAGACCTTGATCAAATGATTTTTAAACACTTTTGACCTCACAGATATCCCTGTTGGTATAATGGAAAAAAATATGTTGTTTATAATACAGCAGATAGGTAGATAAGGCACAGTCACAACCACTCAGTGATTTGAAGTTGGACAGCACACTCTAATATATTAAAAAATGTATTTGTTGTTGTATTAGACTGTAATATAATATTAACATATATAAATATTGTATATGAGACAAACTCCATCTTAAGTGCAACAATTTTATTGTAGTCCTTTCTTCTTCCCTTCCTCCACACTGCATGTTTCGGCCCTAAATGGCCATCATCAGGTGTGTATTCTTACGTAGCTGCTACACTGCCCATAGTTTAAAATTTAAAATCACCAGTCTTTCCAATTGTATGTATGTATAAAATCTTTGTTAACCTACACGCGTCAATTTGATTTCTAAAATTTGCACTTTTTTAAAACTTCAATTCAAATTAAAATGTCTATAAATCTTCTTTTCTTTTTCCAAATGTTTAAAAAATAAAATTTTCTCGGGGTACATGCCCTGTGTCTATAGTGCTGCAGCGGCCACTTCTGTTTAATCGCTGTTCAGGTGTTGTTCTGTGTGAGTGTAACAGGATGCTTAAATATAATAATATAAATATTAATGTGTGATTCTTTCTAGAATCACCAATTGAAGGAGAGTAGTCATTGTAAGTTATTTTCTAAAGGATTCTGACATTGTTATGTTACACTTAGAATTACTGGGTTTCTGGACTTCGTCCATTGTCTCCTATTATGAATAGAACACAACATTTCGGAAATCAGATCTGTTTTCATTTTCAGGTTAAAATTTGGGGAGCACATATCTGGTTGGTCCAGTAATTAAAATTGACTCTTTTAATGGCCACAATTGGGTAGGTGCCTCTCCACCTTTTGACCTGAAGATGGATACAGATCCTTTTCACAAATGTTGTGTTCATAAATGTTCTGGACAAAGTCCAGAAATTGTGTACTGCTGAATGATAAGTTTTCCTTGGATGTTGTCTTTCAGGTGCCACTATCAAGAGTTCCTCATCATTGCACATTTTTCACCAACTTGAGGACAAACTGAAAGCTCTGGAACTATTCCTTTCTTTTTTAAAGGAATTAAAATTGTGGAATAGGGTATGTATGTCACCCAGCAGTATCTTAGTGTACAAGTATGGAGACTTCTGTGAATGAGAAGTGTGCACTGCCTCCCCCTCTCTCACACTTAATTCACATGACAGTATGTTCCAAATGCATTTTAAGATTAGGATGGTCAAAGCAAGAATAAGATGGGCAGGGCATGTAGCCTGTATGGGAAAGGAGAGAAATGATTACAGAACTTTGGTAGGAAATCCTAAAGGAAGGAGGCCTCTTGAAAAAACACTATATAAATGGGATGATAATATTAAAATGGATGTCAAACAAATAGGATGAGTGGGTTTGAACTGGATTTCAAGAGTTCTGTCTTCTGGGACAAAACGTCTTGTAGTCTGTTGAGAATCAGCTGACATTTCAGGGGAACATGTCACTTCTGTCTTCATGGTCGAAGAATAAGCCAAGCAAGAAGCCATCATGAAGCATGTAGCAAGCAGAGGTTGCTTAGCTTATACTTTGACGCTAAAGATGGAGGCAACATATTACTCTGGAATGTCAGTTGAGTTTCAGTGGACTACATGACATTATGTCACAGAAGATAGAACTCTTCGTAACCACCGCTGTGAGAACATCAGATCCTTGGCTTGGCGTAATTTTGTTACTTACAGACATACCTTGTGAGAACCAAGTTAGATCACTCTCTTGCTGTGTGCAGATGTTCAGTTCTTCTCAGGGGAAGGAAGTTTTTTTGTCCGCCATACTGGGACTGTCTGTAGAACTTAAGTAATGGCTACTGGGAAGCCTTTCCTTGGAGGTGAAAAGGCCAAATGTAGAACTGCCTACTCCTAGAATCATGAGGCTTCAGCTCCTCCCCATAGCGACCGTCTGTGGTGCAATGTATAGGCACAGTTCAGTCTGCCAAAAGAGCCATAGCCTGCAAGTCTAGAGCACAAGTGAACCTTTTATACAGTCAGAGCCTGAGTGAAATTGGAACCTCTGTTGGTCATGACCACCATCTCTGGTTTTGTTCTTGTGCTTTATGGTTGGCAATCTTGCATAACCACGGATTTTACGTATTTTTGCTACTTGTATATGACTCAACTGAGGGTGCACTCCAGTTCAGTTTAATGTGTACCTTAATATCCCTAGGTCATCTGTCACAGTTCAGTGTATCATGTCAGAATTGTCAGTAGTGCTGTGTTTATGTTTTCTGGTTATCAAGTATACAGTTTGTCTCATTAGGCCCCATAGACTATGTTTGCCTTAAAATAGCCCCATGTTGTCATAAGTGTAAACAATTTTTTGACAGAATTGGTGAATTCCTTTAAGGAATGTGAATCACATTTATGTTACCTGAAGAGATCTGCTGATTGTGTTGCCATGTAAATTTGGCTGTGATTACACAGTTGATGTGGCCCTTTGAACTGTTCTTCTGTAGGTAAGAGTAAAGTTGTTCCTAAGCTTAATTATGAGCCATGCCATCAAGATGTAAGGTGGAATGGAGGCATGGCTATGTGTGTTCTTATCCTTGGCCTTGGGTATAGGTTAGTAGTTATCTTCTTGCCATGACTGCTTTGTTGCTAGCACAATAGTCTCTAGTGTTATGTGACCGCAGAATGATTTGGACATGGCAAAAAGAAAATCCCTGTTTGTGCCAGGACTTCTGGTCATGTGTCCTCTAGCCTAGTCACTATACTGAGTTACCACATCTCCTACTCTTCTGTGCTGAAGAGAGCATTTAATTTGAAGGAACTATCATAATTTATTTAATTATACAGAAGTAGTGTGTTGTGCATGGGGCCTTCTGTTATGAACTTTGACCATCCTAGCTTCCCAGAGAGCTGGATGTAATTTCCATGTGAGGTAATCTTTAGTATTTTGTGAAGAATGCATAATTTTATTTATCCGTAATTATCAGTGCAATATCTCTCCTTTGGAGTGACCTATGAGGGGGGGACTGCGTTGACTGCGTTGAGTTATATGACAAGTTGTAAAGAGACTGGCACAGTGTATTATTTGTTTGTTCAGTTTTCTGCAGTGACATCCCGTGGAGTAGTCATGGCGACATCCTATGTGTTGGGGGAGCATGCTGAGAAACTGGTAGCAGCCATTGCACTGAAAACGCTTCAGGCCAAGTATGTGGATATGGGATTCACTTGTACCTTCCTTTCATGTTACCAACTCCATGGAACAGAATCCATCATGAGAAGCTAATAGATACTAAGATAGTCAAGAAATTTACTGTCTTTTATGGTAACTGAATGTTCATTAATATGTTCCCAAGGGCCCACTATCATACCCCATCCTAATCTGAATGAATCCAATCCACATCCTCACACCCCACTTATTTTAAATCTGTTTTAATGTTTTCACTATTTTAATCTCACGTGTACTGATTTCTTCCTTCAAGTTTTCTGATTCAAATTTTATATAAATCTCTCGTATCTTCCATGCATGCTACATGTTCCAATCATCTCAGTCTCCTTGATTTGATCTCACTAATATTTAATGAAGAATACAAATTATGTGGCTTAGTATGTATCTTCCTGTTACTTTCTTACTCTTAGGTTCAGACATGGGTTCTGAAAATACTCGTGGGTGCACACAGTATACAAGGAATGGCTTTGACTTTGACCTTTTTTGGGTGATACTGCAAAAATGACGAATTTTTCCATCACATCGTGCAAGTAACAGGTGATGAAACCTGGGTTTCGTTTGTGAATGTTGAAGCCAAGGAGCAGTCAGCAGTCAAAACAGTGGATGCACACGCATTCAGCAAACAAGCCAAAAAGTTCAAAGAAACATCTGCATACAGAGATACTGGGTTTTCGGATTTCATCCATCATCCTGGTTTTTAAGATAACTAAGAAAAACACAACATTTCGGAAACTGGATCTGTTTCCATCCTCAGGTGAGGGAAAAGAACAGAAACGGGACCCACGGCTTAAAGTCCCTCCCGGAGGACTTGTTCCCTGAATTTTTCCGCCCTTAGAAATTCCACGACCTCCGCTGAGTTTGAACCCGCATACCTTGAGTCATGAGGTGGGAACGTTACCCCTAGACTACGGAGGCCGCTGTAATTTTAGTATGTCCTGTACTTACTAAATTAAATGAGTGATGCATTTTTTACTTAACCATCTTTAGCTATTTATACATTTGTTTCTTAGTGTTCCTTAATATTATAGGCAGTTTGGAAATTTAGAAATATAAGTGTAAAACTACTAATTAAAACAATATCCAATACTGAAACAGAGATTTGAGACTGTAAATATCTGGTTATGTAATGTTATGAAACAGTTATATGGAGCCTTAGTAGCTGCGGAAGTTGTGTTTATGATTACTGACATTTTGCTTCTGTCCCAGTTCCTTATTGGAGTTGAAAATAAGTGCAACAATTGCTCAGAGAGACACACTTAAAGACATGTGCATAGAACTTAATTTTTGTATGAGATTTGAAGTTTTTGCAGAAGTGAATATTGTGGTTATGGTCTTTGCGTATGTGATATCATATAGTTTAGTAGAAGGGTTCTTACAAATTTTTGCTGTTATCTACCAGACTACACAGTATCCCAACCAGAAGATGGCACTCTTTGTAGTTTGTACTTGACTATGTTTGGAGTTCTGAACCCTGTTAGTGCTATTAGGGGCTGTTGATCAGTGTTTCTGTCCTGTGATTGAACTCCACATATCAGCAGGCAGTATTTAAACCTGCTAGTGGCGATCAGAAGTAAGTCTATGTTGCTGTCTTGTCACCAAAATGCAGGGCAAAATCATGACATAAAGATATGAAACAGAGGTTTTGAAAATGTGGCACAGTTCAGATATTTGGGAACCACGATAACAAATCAGAACCTGATTGAAGAGGAAATTAAGAGGAGATTGAACTTGGGTAATGCTTGCTACCATTCAGACCAGAACCTTTTATCTTTTCGTCTGCTGTCGAAAAACGTAAAAATTAGAATATACAGAACCATAATTTTGCCTGTGATTCTGTATGGGTGTGAAGCTTGGTCTTTGACATTAAGGGAGGACCATAGACTGAGGGCATTTGAGAACAGGTGTTGAGGAGAATATTTGGACCAAAGAGGGACGAAGTGACAGGAGGTTGGAGAAAACTGCATAATGCGGAGCTTTATAACTTGTACTCTTCTCCAAGTATAGTTAGAATGATCAAGTCAAGGAGAATGAGATGGGCAGGGCATGTAGCACGAATGGGGGAGACGAATGCATATAGGATATTGGTGGGGAAGCCAGAAGGAAAAAGACCACTGGGAAGACCAAGGCATAGGTGGGCGAACAATATTAAAATGGATCTTAGGATGGGATGGTATGGATTGAATTGATCTGGCTTAGGATATGGACCAGTGGAGGGCTCTTGTGAACACAGTAATGAACCTTCGGGTTCCATAAAATGCTGGGAAATTCTAAGGGAGCTGCAGATTTGGCTTTCCTCAAGAAGGGCTCAGCTCCATAAGTGAGTAAGTGGCGATGGCTTTTGAACCCTCCAAAGGCTGAAAGTCATCTAACTTATATTTAACATTTCAGTTCATATGTTACAGAACACACTGTGTATCCATTGCAAAGACCAGCAGCATAATGCTTTTCAGGGAAGTAATCACTTTTTATTGTGAGAATCATGTGAAAGACATGAACATCTTCTGCTGGCAAAGTGCAGAATTTGAATGCAGTAGCAGCTGGTACATATAGTTGTCACTATTCTTAATATTTGTGTTTTGTTTCTTACAGTCACAGCGCTCTTATTGACATGGCCATGCAGTGTGTTGTAGGTGAGAGGCCTTTGGGGGGGCTGACATATCAGGACCTGTTCTTCAGAGAGGTGAGAAGAATGTTGCACTCTGTTTTATGCAGTATCACATGAAATTACTGAATATGTGACATGCTGTTTCTTTGTACAGGTTACCAGAGTTCACCAGATCATTCAAGTATTATCAAAAAAATCAGAAGGTTTGGTACACAGTGATAGACGTCCACAAGAAGTGGCGCATGTGATAGCTGAAACGAACACAGTTATTCTGGTTTGTATCACTCAGAACCATGATTTATATTCAGCATGCAACATTTATCTTGTGAGAGATTTGTAGTGGTTTTTACCAGGACAGCACATCTATGTTATCAGTCTTCTGATTAGCTTTTTGTGTTCTTATCAGTACTTTAGTCTCTCACAAAAGTGATAAGTAATTGATTTATACAAATTTCCTTGTAAGGAAAATTAATGTTTTATTTATTAATCAGTTAATTGCTCTTATTAATCCACCAGTGTGTTGTACAAGTGTGGTTCAAGGTTGACCTGGACTTTATTTTGTTACAAAAAGAATGTATGTGTCAGAATTGCTAAACTTGCTCCTTTTCAAGATATATTCCCTTTACACTAACACATTTTTTTTTTTTTCCATCATCCTTGCAAGTTACTGAAGCCAGAAGTACAGAAGGTTTTATCCTGACTGTGTAGCCAGCTCAGGGTACTGTGTCTGAGCTGGTTGTCTGTGCTAAATTTCTATGCTAGGTGCCTCTTCATTGCCCCAAACAAATGAAACTTACTTGGCACTACATTAAGGCTGTAAGGAAGGTAGTTCATTATTTCTCAGCCCATTGTTGCTAGTGTCACTTCTGCCAAATTTGCCACACATGGATGAGAGATCTCATGCAGTAAGATGGTCTTCTGTGACAGTTTCCCAGGTCTTTTTTCCAAAATTGCTTGGTGCACATCATTGCAAAGCAAGTTAATGAGATACTGTCTATTAATTGTTACAGCATGTAGAAGGAACTCAACATGAATCCCAAAATTCACTTGCCATGATGTTGCCAGCTTACAGCTTATCTTGAGTGATGGAGATCTCTTGTGATACCATTCCACCCTGGACTACTTTGACACTGGAGTGAAGTGGCACTCCCATCTCTTGTTACAGGTCACTTTTCTCTCTAGCATTGTCTTTCCCTTAAATTCAAACTAGTACACGTGTTTGGCAGACACAGCAACATGCAGTGCCTTCTGGCCAAATGTTAACATCTGTTGGACTCTCCAGACATACACTTTCCTGAACAATAAGTGTCCATGCATAATTGTTTCAACACTCCTGACATGTATACGAGTACTATTGCTGGATTCAGTGCCACACACTGTAGTTGACCTGTTTCCAAAAATCAGCTCTTTGACTCAGTAATAATTCACATCTTCACCTGTTGGCTGAACTTGAGCCTGCAGTAGGTTTGAGATTTCTTTATGGCCTTCAAAAAACTTTGTTCAATCACAGACACTTGCACATGACCAGGGTACCTTCCTCTTACTGTGAATTTAACCTATGAAGAATTTCTGCCAGTTTCACTTTTCTCCTTCATTAGGCATTGATGGTACAGCACTGTGCTATCCGAAAGTTCCCGGACTTGGTCAAGAAAGACATGCTGGCTTAACGTACTCAGTTCTGGCTGCCATCTCCTTGAAAATAGTCTCCTTGTTAACATATACAGTGATCCCATTGTTTTTTTCCACGCTTCAAAAACACTGTGGAAATTATTTTCCTTAATTCTGTCAAGTAACACTTGTGATCCCCTTTGGATGTCAGACACTGTTTCAAAACATCATCCCTTTAGTTTCATTTTCAATTTTGGAAACAATGTGAAATCACAGGGGACTAATTCCAATGAGTAGGGAGGATGGGGAATGTCGTTCTTAATCACAAACTCTGTGGTTTTCAAGGACGTGGATGGGCACATTGTCATGATGATGGAGCCAGTTGTGGTTGTGCCAATGTTTCAGTCTTTTTTGTCACACATTTCTCTCAGGCGTCTCAGAACATCACAGTAAAAGTCAGAGCTGACTGTAGTGTTAGGAGGAACGAATTCACGGTGAACAATCCCCTTCACATTGAAAAAAGCAAAGTGATTATGGGCTCTTCCACTGTGATGTTTGTTGCTTTGTTTTTGGATCTTAACTGTAAATCCAATTTTTATCGTCCGTTATGATCCTAGAGATAGAAGTTGGGTCCTTGTTAGGCTTCTCACATAGCTCAAGACACATGTTTACTCGCCCCTGCTTTTGATCATTTGTCAAGATCGGGGAACAAACGTCATGGCAATGCGGCACATATTAAGATTTTCTGTTAAGATATCTTGGCAAACTCTATAACTGATAACCACAGTGTCTCTGAGCTCATGGATTGTTTGGCGACAGTCTTTGTGAATGAGTTCTCAGATTTTTTTCAACATTTTGTGTCATTTTGCTGGTGCTTGGTAGCCCTGAATGTTCATCGTCTTCAACTGACACTTGACCGGCCTTGAAACATGAATACCATTCAAGAACCGCTGTCCTGCTTGAAGAATATTCTCCAAAAGCCTCACGAAGCATAGAAGGGGTTTTGGTAGTGGATTTACTGAGCTTCACGCAAAACTTGATGAAGGCATGTTGCTTGATTTTGCCATCCATTGCAGATGAAATAAAACACAAATTCGAGAAAGCGCTTGTGTAAAAATAATGCATGTTCACAGTGCTGTGTCATGTGGCAGACTGATGTAATAGGCTTGTGGAAGTGTGACCTTGTCCCCCCTTCTCATCTTCTTTCACCGAAGCAGTTACAACAAAAACGGCCCGGGAACTTTCCAATAGCACCTTGTGCACTAGGAATGACAAGATTTTATGCCATCTTGCACTGACTATGGAGCACAGAGGCAGGACGCATGACCACCTGCATGACAGAGAGTGCAGCGTTGCCACCAACTGTTCATAAAAAATGTATTTCTTTGGTATCCTCATCTTCAGGGTAGAAATAAAGTTTAAGTTAACCTTGAGCCAGTTTCATGTTTTAACTTATTATGTACCCTTGATTTTAGAGACAGGATAGCACAGTCAGTATAGCAACTAGCTACAGGCTGGACAACCAATGGGTTGGAGTTTCAGTCCCAGTGGGGGGAAGAATTTTCACTTTTCAGTGTTGTCCAGACCGGCTCTGGGGCCCACCCGTCCTCCTATTTAATGGGTACTAGGGCTAAAGTGATGGGACATGGAGCTGATTATTCACCCCAACTAGTGCCAAGGTCAAGAAAATGTGGGCCTATACATCCACTCCCCCATATATCTTCATGGTGTAATGTTAAATTAGTTAAGCACAGGGATTTTACCACCCTTGATTTTATCAGTGATAAAATGGTATATTTTCCTGACTTGTGTAAATATTGTGTTCTCACCATTGGTTGTGCAATGTAAAAATTTCTTTACTGTTTTGGTTTCACAGCCTTTATCATTGAAAAATATGAAAGTGAATAAACTTTAATACACTGATTTTAGGCTTTTACTAACCTTCTTTCTCTGTCTTTTTAAAGTAATTTAAATATTACATGTAAAGAACTGATATTCACATAAGAATACTTACTACATATATTAGTGATCCAAGTCAGATAGACTGTCATTTTGAACTGGATTGTACTGGCTCAAGAGAGACTCTAGTTTTCAGTTTGTGTGAACATGCTGATGAGTCTTTGTTTTGTAATATCAGGGAATTTTTGAACAGATGAAAAATGAAAGAAACCTTGTACCGTAGGGTTAGTTTCAGTAGTCACTGTTCATTCTTTACAAAACACTAAAAATCTTTGGCTTAATGATCAACTGGTTTAAATTGCAGGCTGTTCTTGAAGAAGTTATTCAGTTCCGCCAAAAGAAGGCTGATGTATTCAGCCCAAATTCTCCATGCAGTGCAGGAATTAATGAGTATCTACCCTGGACAGCCGCTCCAGGGAAGGGAGGGCTGAGAGATGCCTTGTCACTACAGGTATATAAGGCATTTTATGTAGTAAAGAAGCTTTTCATGGGTAGAGGTGGCTGTATGAATCTTGATTCATTCTAGTGAAGGTAAATGTGGCCAATCCTATGTAATATGCTGTGCTGGCAGGCAGTTTTAAGACAGACTAGATGGATAATTCTCTTCATTTAATATTCCAGACACTTTCCTGATGGAGAAAGAATCCACAGTACCAGTTGCCTTGGCTAGTTAATTTGTTAAAAGTTCATTGAGGCAGTAATGCACTAGTTTCTGATGGCAGAGCCTCAGGTTACTTCATGTGAGAGTATTAGTGAATGAAGGAAGCTTTCCAGTTTTTTCAATTTTCCCCCACTATTCATAGCTCCAAAATAACCTTATTGCTGCCCCATGAACTGTGCAGTAGCCCTGACCAGGCAGCACATTATCACATCATTATAGTTCATGTGTGGGGTTTCATACTTGCTCTGGCACTTGGCTGCTTCCAAAGTAAGAAAGTTAGGGTTTTTTCTTTATGCAGCATTAGGCGATTTAGTAATGTGATATACTCTATGTTCCTTTTATATCTATAGGCATACCTCCTTATTTATGAGGGATACATTCTTGAAGAGTGTATATATGTGCAGGCATGCCTTCATAGTTACAAGGGATATATTCCTGAGGTGCCTATATATGTAGGTTGAAAAATAGTGACAATGCTGCTGTCGATTGCACAAAACAGGTGCAAAATAACAGTGCACCCAGTGCTGCTAGGTGGCCCATATATGGGAAGTATGTAATCATTGCATGCCAATAAGGCAGGAGAGTGCACATGAACATGCAAGTGAAGCTGACATCTCATGTAACACTGGCCTGTGACATGTTCACAAAGTTGGAACAGCATTCCTAGATACAAATGGAGCTCATGCATGGCCATATTGCAAAGGAATGCTGATGTCTGCAGGAAGTATGCGGTGATGGTGCATTGCCATAGAAATCTGTTGCACAGTAGGCAAAAGAATTTCATCATGGTCAGAACACTGCAGGATAAGAAGTGTGTAGGATGGTCAGACGCAGCTCATAAAGTCATTGCTGGAAGTGGACAAGTGATGGACATCACACCATTTGGCTGTGGACATCAGGATAAGTCAATTAACAGTTTTTCACATCATTAAAGACATGAACAGGGTGCAGAAAATTGCTTCATTTTGGGTTCATACACTACCATACTGAAGACCAAAAGTGGCAAGTCATCGGTAACCTCCGTCCAGAAGGGTACCACAACAAAAGAGATGCTTTCCTATGCTGTTTCATTACCTTTGACAAAGCCTGAGCTGTAACAGCAGTTGTATGGATGACACTGGTCAAGGCTGCCTGGATGTACAGTGCAAGCTGAAAGTATCTCCATAATATCTGGAGAGCTCTTACCATTGCTGTTGGTACATTAAAACTCGTATATATCTCTAAATGACAATAGGATGGTCAAGGCTGAGCATTTCTGCCTACTGCGTACCTTCCTATAGGTTAGTAGCATTACCGTATGTTCCTTGCTGTTGTAACTTCTGCAAAGGTAATAAATACAGTCTTCAATGGTGATTACTTCTAATACTTCTTAAACGAGGCTGTTATTGAAGAACACTGTCTTCTGATAGAAGTTCATTTCTACCTGTTTATATGCTGTCATATCTTAGGAGATAGCACTTTTCATAGTGATTACTGTCAGAACCTAAGGCCCATGGGGCTCTCGGAGTTTGTATGTCAGCCAGTTTAATGATATTATTTGTATATTTCTTTTTATCTGTAGAGAAACCTGACCTTGAAATATGGAGCACGCTCAACAGGTGATACAACCTTGAAGAATCAGTTATATGATCAGTTGCTGCATCTCATGGATATCATCTTGGATGGGAGGAAGAGTTACTTGGAAAGCATTCGTGGGACAGAAAAGTTTGACATTTTGTTCCAGCAGTACGAGACAGAGAGGCATGCAATCATTGAGCCATTCTGTAAGTCTGCTGTCTTTCGTACAGTATGACAAATGTCCATAACTTGAGCTAGGGCTATTTCAGATTCCTGTTCTTGTACTCCAACAATGTCAGACATTTGAGCACCAGTCCTCATTATGGCCTTACTCTTCTGCATGTCCATGTCATCAGATGTGGTCCTTGAAATGTTTATTTTTTGTTTCAGTGGAGGATGAGGAATTTGAAAGAGCTGCCATCTTAGCAGAGAAGTACTGTGATTTCCAAATCTTGATTCAAATATGTGAATTGACTGACAACAATGAGAGATTGAACCAGTACATGGAGAAGTTTTCTGAGCAAGTAAGTTCATTAGGTTACAAAGTTATTTACTCTGCTGGACTTGTTTGTGAGAAGCAAAACTTTAAATGAAGTAATATCATTTGCCAGTGATACTTTATGTGGTATGTCTCATATGTGACAGTAAAATGTTGCAGTGACTGCTTCAGACATGATGCCTGATTCATTTTACTGCCCAGTGAGATAAAATTATTATATGACTGATCATTGTGGTCTTTTTTTTTTTTCCTGTAAATGTCACCCTGCCTGCCCTTTGAGCTATATTTAAATTGTAACAAGTTAACAGTCATTGCATTGTTGTCTTAGTCAAATCTTTTACAGTGTGTGTCGATAATTGGAGTATAGTATTTACTTAAAGAAAGACTGTAGAAAAGTGTAAGGCTGGAATCTGTTGATGAGAAGATGAGGTACTACCATAACCTGAGCACAAACAATGTCTCAGTTGTGGTACAGTTAGGAGAGAGTGGCCAGCCATGTCCTAAGGCCCGTCCACATTACTCGTGCTCGTGCATTAGAAGCTTACTGCTGCCGGAAAATCAGGATCTGGGGCTGACGAAGTGGACACCCAAACTGGTTTGCATACAAAGCCTTCGCAGTTCTTCACAACAGATATCAGCGCCAGATCCTGATTTTCTGGCAGCAGTAAGCTTCTGACACACGAGCACGAGTAATGTGGACACACCTTTAGAGAGAGAATGTTGGTGAAAGTCTGCTAGTTAAACTTGGCCTTTCCCATGTAGCCTTGCTCCTTTGACATTTTAAATACTGAATCTACTCACACAATCTATGCAGCCATACTTTCAGGCAATAAATTCTAAGAATGTTATACAATTTTCTGCCTTTCCCTTTATCTGCTTATGCCTCAATCATTGCTGCATCTGTTTGTTACAGAGACAGGATGAAAGCATAGTTCACATGTGTCTTGTAGGTGAAAATTGTGCGCTAATGAAAGAAAGAAAATGAACACATACTGGGTGCAAGTTTTACCAGAACAGCATTCTATAGACCAAATATTGACCATTGTGAAGAGATATGGAAAATCATGTTTGTGCTCAAGAAATGTATCTAAATGCTGAGGGCTGAAGGGGGGGTAAAACATGCCTTATGATCATTGACACTTGGGAATCAGTGGCAATTGGCATGCCAAACACCTCTGCAGTGTCCTGCCCAAGAGAGAACTGACCCAGCCATACATCCTTCAGATGGTGCAGTGGAGACCCTGCATTGATATAACTGACCCTCGGACAGTAGCCTCCGAGGACTTGAGTTTTTGTCGCAGAGGTCAACAACAAGTTTGTCCTTGCATGCCCGCAGTGTTTTGGGATGCTGAAGAAATACCATCATGGCACCCCATGGCATGACCACATCCTTCACCCATATGCAGGTTGGCAGCAAGGTGGAATCGACTGGGTATGGAAGTGTTGTTGCAGCATAGCCGGAAGGCCCCCTGGAGATGGCAGATAGCCTAGTGGGACCAGGTTCCAGTGCTGCCCACCGAGCTGGAGTATGGAGGGCAAGGATGCCGGTTCAAGCCACAAGTGAGGTTCCTGTTACAAAGGATGAAAATTACCAAGGGTGGAAACACACTAATGGAGATGTGCCCTGTAAGGGGCCATGGCAGGCAGGACATGCTGTCGTAAGGACAGAGCAGCTGAATGGGGGCAATGCAGGCTGATTCCATCCAAAGCAGATGTACAAGAGTTGGGGCAAGCATGGTATTGTGGTGCCATTCATGAGGGCACGCATGGACATGAGAGGCCCCTTGGACCATAGCAACTTCAAGTATGCCTGAAGGCTTCCCAGGGTGAGGAGCCTAAAGGGGGAGCCATGTGATATGATACTGAAAATGCAGAATGTTGGAATCACAGAAGTGTTGGAGAGGCATCCATTGCTATACAGCTGCTTGTTAGAACACATTTCCATGGCAGTAACTACATGAAGAACAGTCAGAAATGGCTGGCATGCCAGAGCCAGGAAGAAATGCGGTAACAACAGGATGGACTAGGGAAGGACTATGCTTGAAGGCTGTAACCACGTAAGGGTGATATAGTGGATCGTAACGCAACTGTGAATACCAGAAACGCATTGTAGTTATTTGTAGATAAGACTAATCTAGTTACTTATCTGAACCCCATGTATAATCACAGTCCTGTGGCAATGTATAAGTTCTAATTGGTGTACTTTAAAAAAAGTTACACAAATGAAAATCTTAACAGATAGCATATGTAGTACAATTTTCTCTTGAAGGTGTTCAGGGAGATTGAAACATGTTGTCTATGCTGTTACGAATTTATTGTATTCTGGAAATTTGTTTGAGCCGTCTCCATACACTCAATCCTACTTCATGTGAAGTTTCAATTGAGCTTGTCAGTTTTATTAAAAATGGCATGTCATTCGAAGGGCTGTTGAGGATTGAGGTTTTTGTGGCAGTAAAAATTTGGATTGCAGTGGGTTACATCACCATGTATTCAGGTGGGTTGTTATCAAAGTTTTGGAAAATCCTCCATCTTCAAGGTAGATATCCCAGGCAATAAATTATGTGTCATATACAAGAAATATACTACCACAGTCAATAAGTTCGTGGAATGGCCGCACAGCGTCGTACGGGGAATTTACTGCCAATATGTTTCAGCAGTGTTTTCAACAGCTATATCAACGTTGGCAGACTTGCATAGCAGCCAACGGCAACTATTTTGAGGGCCGATGTGGATCTCCATAAGTGTATGTGAATGCCTTGTAATATGATGTGATAATACCACATTCCACGAACTTAATGACTGTACCACGTATATATTTGCCCATTGTTTCTGTTTCTGCCTGTAATATGGGTATTTCCTAGTACTTATGCATACCTATGAGAACAATAAATGGCAGTCCTGTAGTCCAGGCATGTCCAACTTCAAACAGGTTGTGGTCGACTTTTTAGTGTCAAAACTGCCAGTGATCTACCACCCCCTCGTATCATCGTACCTCGCTTTAAGCAAAAATATTGATAAAAATAACATGACACATGATGTTTGTTGTAAAAGCAAGATACATTGAAAGTACAGACTACTTTAATATGTATTTTCCTTTCAAAATCTGAATATAATCATATTATATTACAAGTGAATTTACATGCTTTTCATGTATAATTTCCTTATAGGCCTATGAGATCGACCAAAAATTGTCCCGCAGTCGATGCATTGGACATGCCTTCTGTAGTCCTTTGAAGGGATTCACTAACTTCTGGTGTTCTGAGTTCATTATATTTTAGTTTTAGACTCTTCATCCCACTGTCAAATAACATATTTTCATTTATAAAGATATTGCTTTATGTGCTTAGGACTTCTCACAGTTCCTGTTCAGTTGGTATATTCAAGAACAAAAGCAAGGTAGGCTGTTGGAGAAGTTCCGTGACATTCAGAAATCCAGGGCCCATCAGCAGGCTCTCGCTCAGTTCCTTGTGGATCATCCATCACTCTCCTGGCTGCAAAATATCTTCACTGGGGATTATAAGCAGGCCAGCTGCATACTGAGGGGCTTGGCAGAGGAGGAAACTGAATTGCTGCAAAGGAAAAAGGTAGTTCTCTGAGCTACACATTCACTGCTTATGTTGTACGTGTATAAGAATAATTCACTGTTTCATGTACAACACTAATTTTCAAATGTCAGATAAGAGACTAAAGTGTTGTAATGGGACAATTACTTTATGTTGCCCAATCCAGAGATCAGAGTATTACGCACCCACATGCATGCACACAGTGCAGTGACATGTTATGTGAGGAAAGCTTTCCTGAAGACCACATATAGTTCAAGACAAATTTTCTCATGGAAATAAAATTTCATTATTTCAAACTTTGTGCAAGAAGTGAGACTTTATTAATATTTTTTATATCACACTATTTCAAATTCACATAAAATACAACTGCACTGTATATGTAGAAGGATGTTATAAGAAATGTGTAATTTTATCACTTTAAATCTCAATTGCCTACTCCCCCACCCCCTTCTTGTGTTAGTGTGAATATATCAATGATTGTCTTTTAAGCAATTTCTTCATTTAAGTAAAGTTTGTTTTTACAGAAGCTGTGGAAGAGAGGTTTTTTAGGTAACACTGTTGAGCACAGCAGAATATATGTAATTTCCTTTGTTTTACTGGCTTAGATGAGAACAGTGGTGGGCTGTTGTACAGGTATAAACGCTCTTAGTGCCTTATGTCTTGCAGTCAATGATCTCCCTGGCCAAGCTGGCGATGATGGCTTCTGATGAACAGCCTGACAAAGTAGAAGAAGTTGTATCCACTTTGAACACGAACTTGGATCTGGTCTCATATCAGGAGGAGCTTCCAGAGATTGTTCTCTCTTCCTATGGCTATGATGCCGAGAGGCTGCGAGTACTGACTCCCACTGAACTTGTTAAGGTACAAGGACAGGTGCGAGGGATAGTCAGTAACTAAGTCACAAATGGATATGAAATGTAAAACATGTGATATTTGAACCTGGAAAAAACATTTATTTCTCGACATATCCTCCACCGACATCGATACACTTGTCCTATCACTTTACCAGTGCGTTGAAATCCGCAGCATAGGAGACTTCTGACTGTTGTCTCATCCACTTTTTCATCTCTGTTTCAACCTCTTCGTCATAAGCGAAGAGTTTGCCACCCAGCTCTGAACTCCTTTATGTAACAAACACTTCCCACCATAAACGGGAAACGATTTGCTTATGAATATACTTTGCAGTGAATTCTTTTACCCACAAAAAATGCACAACGGAACGCTGCTCTTTTGTAGTATACTCCTCAAGCAGGGTTGCCATTTGGACTACTGAAACCAGCCTCTGAACATGTGCATCTGCTACCTAGACTATCATGAAGCTGGACTTTGCTACTAGCTGTTGATACACATAGAAAGCCTATTACATTCATTACAGCTGTTTTACTTCCATTTGTGACCTATTTACTGATTGTCCCTCGTATTTCTTAATGTCAGGTCAGTCACTTGCTTATGATATAACCGTGGCATGATCAGTTATTAACCTTTATTGCCCAGAATAGGTGATTTTAAATTCCTGGCACTGTGAGTGCCTGGCTGGCAAGTATGATTTCAGACTTAGTGGTAATAATATTAGTATCAAGAAAGTGCAATGTACAACCCATTGGTCTGCAGTAGTACATTAGTCCAACATGTGACCAGTAAAGGTTAAATGAGTAGTAGATTTTTCATAGAGTGTATGGTCACTCAGAGGATTAGAATTTCTGAAGAGAACTATTAAATCCACAGGAGCTCGGATAGCATAGTCAGTATGGTGACTGGCTAGGGGCTGGATGACTTAGAGGTTGGAGTTCGAGTCCTGGTAGGATCAAGAATTTTCACTTCTCCATGTCTCCAATTATGTTTGTATACTCGCCTGTGCAGTGAAACACTCAGCCCTCTTTGTAAGTGAGTCCAAGATCTGGTATGGGCTGCATGACTAAGCAGGGAGAGGGACTTTTTCTTTCCCATGTTATCCAGACTGCACTACGGACCGCCAGCCACTTACCAGCGGGATTTGGGGTCTCATTTCCTAAACGAGTAATATGGTGAACAGTGAACATAATTCCTGATCTCCACAGTTTTGAGGTCTAGACTGCTCTGAGATTTGCTTAGGCGCCATGGTAACTTTGTCTTTATATCTTCTTACTTGCACTTTTTTACTGCATCTGATGGTACTTCTTTCAGTCATTACTCATGAAAATATCGTTACCAGCTTCCATTTACTATATTTCTGTAGTTGATTACTGTATTATTTTGAAGCAGAAGTTCCTGATCTTTGAGTGAATATGCTTTCTAACTGCATTACATGCTACAGAAAACTTAGGAACACATTAAAATCAACATCATGTTTCCAGTTCTGGTCGTTATCAATATACAGACCAAGTCTTTTGTGTTTACTGATGATTCTACAGGGAGGTTCTTACCTTTGTTGGCCAGTTCATGGTGCATGTGACATGGCCAACTGAATTGAATTGAATTGAATTGAATTTATTTACATTCTGAGGTGAATAAAAGTTTTGCTGATGAATCAATATGCCTGTTGGCTGATAACATTTGCAATCAAGTAGTTACAATTCACATCTCACAGAAGGTGTTCAAAATGCTCTACCTCTACGTGTAGACATTCCTCGCACTGGCTAAAGATGTACTGATTTACCCTTCGAAGTTCTTCTGCAGTAATATTTGCTTAATTGAGCATGGGGACAACTTTACCTTTACCTTGTAATAAAATAGGAAAGTACTTCATAAAAACAATTAAGATTAATTAGTATTTATATTTTTAAATTTCAGCATCACATTTTAAGTGATTTATTATAGGTTGGGGGGGCCTCAAACATGGTCATTCACATCAGAGGAGCCTCAGACCAAAAGAATATGGGAACCTGGTCCATTAGGCCCAGAGTAGATAACAGGAAACAACAGAAAAGAAAATATTACACTTTTTATATATCAGACATAGAATTTTTTTGACATGATTTCCTTTTGTGATTGGTTCTGCTGTGTTTGCCCTCATTTCTTAAAAACTTCATTTCATTCCCTTGGTGTGCAGTTTCATGCAATAAATATGGTACTGATATGATTTGAATAATGTGTTCTTCCAATACTTATCACCAGACACTGCTAGTGTGGTGCCATTATTACTACTGATCTCTCTCCTTTAAGCAGTATTATTGCAATGGTTAATTTCTGTTGTTACAGCTCTACATTTGTGATGAAAATTCTACAGCCACCGAATATGATTTCAAGAAGGCCCTTGACCTCCTTTCATATATTGAAGATGAATTTGAGAGAGATGAATTAAGGTAATTCATTACATTTATGAAATTAGCTCATATTAGACCTGCAATACCAGATCATCAGGAAACAGTGCAATGCATTTTGATGAAGTTTACAGTGAAACTCCCATTTCAGGTTACCTTGAGGAGAGTGGATTTGGACACCAGACTGGAAAAAATCTTAAATGGAGATAATTTAACAGTAAATTTCTTGATTATGAATCACTGAAATTGAACTTTAAATAAGGGAAACCTTATTTGAAGGAATGTTATATGGAGTTCCCCTGTACCTCATGAAATAATTGGTTTACAGAAGTATTTTTAATGACAAGATTTACAAAATCAAGTCTGTTAAATAATGACAACTATAATGGCTTGCATATTCTGCTATACATAATTTTATTGTAAATGAAAGTCAGTTGAAGTATGTTTGCTTTGGGATTTTTGTTTGTTTATGCTCACACACAGATGATGGAAGCACTATCATTGTCCGACAGCATTAATCAGACAGCCTAAATATATCATTAACAGATGTACACACTTTCACACCTATAACTGTAAAAGCCAGTGTGTGTATATGTGCATATTTGCTTCCACTGAGTACATGGACATAGGGAAAATGTTGAAATAATGTAGTATGCAGCCCAGCACTGTTCTAATGTAAACAAGGGGTGAGGGAGGAAGGGGAGCAAATATTTTTTTGGTTGATTATTTAGAGAAAGGACAGATAAGAGGGATGGAGAAATAACATGGAATGGAAGGCAATAAAGGTACAAAATGTATAAGGGAAAGGAAGACAGCATATGCGATGAAGATATAAAAACAAATTTTCTGTGACACACTGTAGCTGTACGTGCAGTAAAAGTGACGACCATATGGCAGGATTTTGTGGTTATTAGATATTAGTTCATTGAAAACAGCCTGTAGCAACTGCATTGAATGTTTTTTGGTGTGTGCTGGTGCATTTTCCTGCAGAAAATATGTGTAACTCTGCCCTTCTTTCATTATTTTTTAAGGGCCCCCAAATTTCATTGACATCCTATTCTTAATTAACTGTATTGTCAAATAATATAATGCCTATGATTCTTATAGTGTTTATACTAGACTGTACCCCATGTAATGGGATATGCTTGATAATGTGGATTTTCTGTATCACAGCTGCATGTTGTTTTGTGAGTTTATGTAACCATTGACATTACACTGGGCTTCATCCATATAAAAAGAACCTGACAGTCAGCTTTACCATCATGAATATTTCTATAAAGTCAGTAACATAAACTTCAAACAAGGGTCTACAGGTTGAGATTGTGTACCACCAATATCTGTTGCAGATAAAACTTTAGGTTTTCATGGCTCTAACCATACACTTTGGTTGATGTCCTGTCACTGACTGACTTTGTTTCAAGCTCCTTTTTATAGACCTTTAACAAACAGTTTACTGTGTAAAGGTGAATCTGAATAATGCTGATGAAATTTATGAACCCATCTGTCATCAGATTTCTTCCAATTCTCAACAAGAAATATATTGCTCAGTAGTGTTCATATCTCTGTGATTCCATACAGACACACTGAGTACTCACAGCTGACCACAAAAGAAACATCCAGTGACTGACAGAAATGAACTGTGCACATGTTATTAAGGCAGTTATGTGGCAGCTGACTGTTTATGTTAATGCACGAGTCATTGCACACTGATCACCAACTGATAGGTTTGAGCCAAATGCTTTTTAACTGTTGGCTGAACCTATCTGTATGTATGTACCAACTGTGTTAACATTAAAAAATTTATGGATTCCATATGATTCTTAGAATAAAGAGCAATTATTTTTCTAAACATCATTAATTTATTGATTTTTTAATGGAGGCCCAGTGTTTTCTATGAAACAGGAACCACATTTTTAAGTATTATTTATGCGAACCCCACATTTTAAATAGCTTAATATTTCATTCTCTTGCTGATTCAGACACAAGATCTGGTGCCAGGCTGTTCTACGAGATAATTGGACTGACACAGATCCTAATTCTCCCCTCGAAGTTATCCAGGGGATGACCTTCTTCAGACTTGCAGATCTTATGGCCATTATGGGTAAGAGATAACTCAAATTATTAACTCAAAATTGAATATGGAGATAACTGCTTATTCTTTTGATTTAGGCAGTGTTTTATGAAGTAATAAATTAATAAGATCTCACTTGAGAAAGAGAATTTGAACTCCACAGCTTGTTATATTAGCTGTTTAATACTACCTAATTTGACTCTGACATGGCTACAAGCCAAACTTCAAGGTGACACAAATGGCAGCAGCTCCCCCCCACCCATAACTACAGGAAGTACAGTAAATTCCAAGTTACCTGGTATGTATGGGGAATGTGGTCTGCTGATTGCATGAGAAAAACTTTGACACCCAACACAAAGTCCAAGCAACACATTTGCACTTACTTCTTACATGGGAGTCCTCCTAGGTGACAAAGCAGATTAATCGGTATACAGTGATGTGATCACAAATTCAACTAGCTTGTACTGTAATGGCAGCTGTATTAGGGAGGAGAACAGGTGGTGCTGCTATTGGTGGCTAGGAGAACTGCATGGTGGTGAATATGTGCACATCAGAACTCTGTTTTTGAAATAACTGTATAAGAATTGTATATTTTCTGACATTTTTGCTGGTTTTTGAAGTAACTGTATAAGAATTGTATATTTTCTGACATTTTTGCTGGTTACATGAGAATTCCAAGTGTCTGGATCACCAGGAGTCTACAGTATGACAATTAATTTGTTTAGAACAGAATTAAAATTAACAAAAAATAAATAAATTTAACAAATAAACATAGATTACTGTTTCCTGGGATGTAGTCTGCTAGACGGATACCGCTGCCTCCCATCTTCAATACACTTCTGATGATGAAGGCAGCAGGTTCCTCCAAAACACTGGTACATTTCCACCAGGCAAGAGTATTACATTCCAGAAGCCAATATCTTAATTTTCACTGTCAAAAAAATCTCAAATCTCACACAGTTTCATTTGGCACATATGTGTGAATGTGTCTAAAATAAAGGCCTTCAAGTGTCTGAAGTCTGACATCAGCAAATGGCACATGCTACTTCTGAAATCTGACATAAGGAAAAACTTGCAGTTCCCACTCTGAATCATTTTCGTGGCTTGGAATGGCCATGTCTTCCTACTGTATCCTTAGTCCTTTCATGCTGTGAATTTAATCTTCTTTCACTTGAAAGGGACACAGTTTCTAATAGAACAATGACTTGATTCATTCACTGCCAAATCCATCACCTGATGAACTGAATTTTACCGTGTTGATTTCATCCACTGATGGGATGTTGCCACTGTGTACATGAATGTAATTTTCTCCTGCAGTTTTCACATGCAGAGTGAATAGAACTTTAAGTGTAAATTGTTGATGCTTAAAAGAGTAAAAAAAAAAGCTGTGATTTTGTATTTTTTTCACTTGTTCTCCATTGATATTTTGAATGCAATAAGTTTAATACAATTCTTTTATTACACTCTGTCGCAACACAACAGTACAATGGTCAAGGCTAAAATTAGCTTAGTTACATGTTTCGGCTATTAAGATTGCAATCTATATTCCCTACAGAATGGACAAAATACATTGTAAGATGAGGCACCAGCTAAACAGTTAACATCAAAACTATACTACATCTATACCATGGGCCTTCAGGCAGTTTATTACATGTATACAAGCCTAGATATACCATTATGTCCGTGGGAATATAACAAAATTGCAACAACTGACTTGATGATATGGAATATCACATGAAGAGTTTTGAACCCTATTTTAAGCCATAACTTTCATTTTTATAATAAGTTCATAGTTCATTGTATTTTTTACCATGTATTTTATAATGTAATAATTATCGAGTACCCAGCTTCACTATCACAATTGCAGTCCAGTAGCATGTGAATATGGTAATCATGTTTGCCTGATGATGGTTTTAATAGCCGAAACATGTAGCTAAGCTAATTTTAGCCTTGACCATTGTATTGTTGTGTTGCGACAGACTCTAATAAAAGAATTGTATACAATAACACAACAGGATGCACAGAATGAAAATTATAAATGCCAGTAAGTTGAAACTCCAGTTGTCACAGAAAAGTGATTGTGTCATATTCTCTCTGTAGGCAGCAGTCCTGATGAAGTGCTGCCACCTTTGGAGAGAATGTTGGAAACTCAGGAACTAGGCAACTTGAAAGATAACAGTAACTTCCAGTTCCTGTTGAAAATGGGGTACGAACACATGCATAGAATATTGCATACTGACCCATGAAAGTAAGTATGGTATTGTACAGAGCAGTGTACTCTGCTGGTGTGTCTGTACCTTCTCTGTAATTCCTGTTCATGACACAACATTTCCAGTGACAAATTAAGTGTATTTTTATTGTGTTCTTATTTTATTAAAAAAAAACATTTCCCCACATATTGTTTTGGAATGCACTTCCCATTTAGTATCATAAGAGTATAAACCTAGTTTTTTTCAGATAGTAAATTTTACACAATATCAAAATTTCTTCTTTTTTTTTTTTTCACACATTCATCACAGGTGACATCATTGTGACTCCTTATGTTAACCTGACGCAAGGGAATGGACTGCACTTAAGGTTACATTCAATCTTCTGGGATGTGAAACTGCTTAGTTTGGTACATAAATATCAACACCGTGAACTTCATCATTTAGCTCAATTCAGTCCTGAAGATGCAGGTAGTAAATACCGTTACCTATGTACTAAACTATTGGGGTATCACACCCCAGAAGGCTTACTGCCTGAGAACCCTAAATTTCAGCATTACACTTTGGTAGCAGTGGTTATGGGCAAAGCATCAGGTGCAACAAGTGGAAAACATTGTTCACAGTGTGCCAATGGTATGAGTGAAATTCACAGAACTATGCATTTTGCTGAAATTTGTCTTTAACACTTCCCCATTGAAATTTCAACACAGTTTATCCAGGAATTGTAACAAAGCCGTGGAGCTATGTTTTGTGCTGAGAAAGAATTGAAGAATGCAGTGATCAGTATATGTAATCAGTTCCATAACAGAAAGTGAAGTAGTTGAGTCTGTGCAATGGCCTTGAAGCTTCCAATTTCATTAGTGGTTAGATTTAAGGGTAACGAACTAGAGACAAAGCTTAATGTATGAAAGAATAAAAGAGTATATAATGAAGCTTTATTTTAATATCTATTTCAACAATGAATTGAACTAAACCAAAGTTGAGAAATGAAGCACCACAAATCTTAAAATGGCCTGCCTGTTGCCCAGTCTTTCTATGCTGCATGTGCATATTGTCTTCATTCAGATTGCACATATGCTTTAATTGTTCTTATAAAATTAAGTCCTTTTTTACTTATGAAAATGTTTTAGGGAAATTTATAAGTTTCAGTGACACTCATATGAGGCAATTGTTGTCTGTGAGGTAGGTGTAAATCTCTGTTAGGCCCAGCTTGTTGAGATGGATGAGGTCCTTTCTTTCTCCATCACGATAGTACCTGAAAGCATCATCCAACTGAGGTAGATGTTTGTCCATTGGTACTCTGAAATCTTTTATCATATCCATCTTGACAGTTATTAACATATTTCAAGCCAGGACAATAAGATAATTTAAAATGAAATCTATTTCTGAGTCACATGGCACCCACTTACTATGGTTACGAGGATAAAACATCGCGTGATAACTATATATTTTAGAGGTGCTTACATTCAAACAGCCCAGTGCTGGGTATGAAGTAACACTCTGCTAGGGTCGCCATTCCCCTTATCACATAAACACATAGGTGATTAGTTTTTCATGACCCATCTCATTGTTTACCTTTCAAAAAACTCCAGCTTGCAAGTTTTGGACTTTGTGATGTACAGCTGGCTGATGTCTGCTACCGTAACATCATCATCTGAAACAAAATTAAAATTATAGCAGTATTGGTAAAAAGCTTCGTGTAAACTCAGACCTAAAGGATTATGTCTCAATTTGTTGAATGAGATCTTGTATAATTTAGAACCCTGTAAAAAGTTTTTGCTTTTAAGACATATGCACATGCATGCACAATATTTATCAGCAAAGTGATTAAGATGATGTGGCAGATTCTTTAAGCTTGGTAATAGGTGGCATAATGATTGGAAATGTTTCATTTTCAAGATATTCAGATTTTTTGTTGGGTACAGACATGTGAGGAGTTGAGATAGTACAATCAGTATGTGCTGGACAACAGAGAATTGGGGTTTGAATGTGTGTATAAAAAAATCTGTATTTATTTTTACATAACAAAACTTTAATCCCCTTCAGAGTACTCTCCATTTGATTTAGTGCACTTGCCCAAATGTTTTTTCCATTGCTCAAAACATTTTTTAAATTCATCGCTGGTGATGCCTTTTAGTGCTTGTAGTTTTTTTCTTTGCGTCTTCGACATCCGCAAAACGTCTTCCCTTGAGGTCTCTTTTCATTCGAGGAAATAAGAAAAGTTGCACGGGACAAGATCAATTGAGGCAAGGGTGTCATGCCATTTTTGGTCAAAAATCGCTGCACACACAGTACTGTGTGGGCAGGCACACTGTCATGATGAAAGAACCATTCACCTGTTTGCCACAAATCAGGAGGTTTTCTTCTTAAACTGTTACGCAACCTTTTCAGAACTTCCAAATAATAATTCTGGCGACCTTCTAGAATGATTTGACGAATTTTTGTCATGTTTTCATCAGTTCATGCGGTCAAAGGACGTCCACTTCAAGGTTGATCATCAGTTGACATTTACCATGTTTGAAATTGGATAACCATTCGTGAATTTGTGTTTTACTTATGGCGGCTGCCTTGTAGGCTGTTTCTCCCAAAAGGAAACAAAACTTCACAGCAACACACTGTTCGTGTGAATCAGCCATTAAAAATAGACAAATTATAAAAAATTCACCAAACACTAACGCAAACTGCTCTATGCCAGCCAGCATACTGATTCAGGAAGGTGCTGCAAACAACCACGTAGGGGTGGAAGCCTGTACTACAAGTGCCTCGCCTTCTAGAAATAAATTCCGTTTTTTTCTTTGGGTCCCCCTTCATACATACATCTAGTCAAACTGATCTGTGGCTGAACACATTTTGTGCTAACAAGCTGAAGATTGCATTTAGAGTATACTCCAGCTGTCCAATTTGTGCAGAACATAGTCAAGGTCTGACCTATATTTTGAGGGGATCAAACGCCAATACTTCATACCAGAACAATATGACTTACATAAGCATAATTTATTCACAGTACAATCAATCTGCAAGATACTGGAGAAAATCCCGAACTGGTTTACACATGGTTAATTGGATTTTTTGACTCTATCCATTGTCTGGTATTCTCAAAACACCAGAACACAAAGTCTAGTGATTGGGGTTAGCTCTTTCTAATAGACCCAATAGAACAGGAGTCTCCCACCCTTCATCTGAGGATGGAAACAGTTCCAGTTCCTGAAGTATTACGCTCTTGTGTGTTTTTTGAATACCAAACAATGGACAAAGACCAAAAACCCATTTATCCTGGTTTACATCAGTTACTGAATTTCAAACTTGTGTGAGGAGTACAGTATGCAAGACACACCTTCTAAGGACTTGATGAACATGTTGAAGCCCTCAATTTGTTCCCAATAATCTGGCCTGAACTGTATCTTGGGAATTGGTGGCAAGGTGAGCAACACAATTCGTCTGGCTCGTCTACGTAACTCCTTCAGCAGAGTCCACATTGTTAGACGCAGTTGTGATTTTTCTGTTTTCTGAAACAATAAGGGTCAGCTGAAAGGAGTAAAATGAAACAAAATAATGATCATATTCTTTACTGCTGTTACTGAATGCAGTAGGCTCCTGCAAAACATTTGAAGCTTCTTTCAATACAGCCCACGTGAAGGATGTCATTAGTTCCAATAGACAGCACTGTCTTGTGGAAGCTTGTTTCAGTACAGCCCACCTGAAGGATGTCATTAGTTCCAATAGACAGCACTGTCTTATGGAAGCTTGTTTCAGTACAGCCCACCTGAAGGATGTCATTAGTTCCAATAGACAGCACTGTCTTATGGAAGCTTGTTTCAGTACAGCCCACCTGAAGGATGTCATTAGCTCAAATGGGAAGTACTATCTTATGGATGCTTGTTTCAGTACAGCCCACTTGAAGGATGTCGTTAGTTCCAATGGACAGCACTATCTTATGGAAGCTTTATTCAGTAGAAGCTGCCTGAAGGATGTCAGTTCCAATGAGCAGCACTAACTTATGGAGGCTCCTTTAAATATGACCTACCTGAAGGATGTCATTGGTTCCAATGAGAAGCACAATCTTATCTGCCACAGGATGGAGTTCCAGTTTCACCTTCTTCAACAAGTCAGCCACCTTCTGGCCACTTACACACAAACCAATGGAACGAACTCCATCAACTGAGGACATAATTACAGTGTGTCATCAAGAAAATTAGAGTAAAGGGCATACTTGTGATATCAGGTCAGGAAAAGGCCTATTTATAAGATTCTGAAAGCAAAATATTGAAAAGGACCAGTAAATTTAGAGCAATTACAGATAGTAGCAAATTATGCCATTAAGTCTAAAATCCAGTTGCACTTTGAACACAACAGGTTTGAAATTAATGAATTACAAATGTATTTATCAAAATACAACCTGTTACACAGGCAGGAATAACTGTGCTATTAAAGTATCTAAAAACCCTTTAGTACTTGAACAAATTATATGATATTACTAGCTCAACATGTTTTGACCAATTTTGTCATCCTCAGGGTCATTTTAATATTGGTTGTTTAGAGTTTTAATTTACCAGTCATAAAGTAATGAAGGTTATTGTGTTCTGGGATGAGATGACCTGTAGTTTGGTATATACATATTTATGAAACTATACAGCATCACATCCCAAGAGACAGTCTTTACAGTCAGCACTGTGAGAAATTCAGATCTTGAATAATAATAATATTATTGCATTTAATAACTGGTACATTAAAATATGACTTAAAGTCTTTGAAAGATAAATATTTTGTAGAAATACACACACACACACACACATATATATATATATATATATATATATATATATATATTGTCACGTGTAGGAGGGTACACGTGACGAAATGACAGGTTCTAGTTTGGATGATTGGTTTTATTAACAGCCTAGTTACACTTTTAATTACACTCAAATACAGGGCTATCACTGATTTGCACACTCCCTAGGATTTTCTGTCTTCCATTCACTCAATACAACTGAACTTGATATTTCAACTGAATTCCTTAGTCAAAGTCACATTGTGACTGATGGTCGGTCAGTCAGTAAGTTTTGGTGTCGAGCCCCACAGATATTTATTACTGCTTGACCGTTACGGTCTTGTTTTTTGGGGTGCCCTCTCTGACGAGAGGACAGGTCTGTCTTTTATATATGCTGCTGGCCCTTGCCAGTGCAGTCTTCCTGGGCTCTGAGTCCCTTGAGACTCTCGACCATATTTTACTGTCTCAGTTTTGAGACTTCCCTTTTTGTCGCTTCCTACGACTCACAGGGTCACGGTGGAGGTATTCGATCCTGCCGCCACATGGGTTTTGACTCTGAATTCCTTAGGCATTCTAGTTACTCTTATAAACCCTCAATCCAACAGGCGGAAAACACAGGTTGCTTCACTGTTGTGTGACGCTGTGTTTACAGAGGCGTTGTAATTAATTCTATAGTGATATGTAAATTAAAACTTTAAATTTTAAAAGCTTATGAATATTAAATGTCCCTGAGGATGCAGCACACATAACCTGCCTCCTATATAAAACAGAACCATTTAGAACAGCTACACACAGCACCAAGGAAAACCATCACACCAACAAAATGTAACATTATATAGCATAAAATATTCACTTCATAAGCAGAACACTAATATAATCCATTATTATATTTTCACGTGTACGCACACACCCTACACAGACACACCAGGCCAACAACATGTGCATACAACAAAATAATCATGAAATGATATTTTAAAATAAAATATTTTGCACCTTTAAAATGAAAAGTATAGCCATGTGACAATGGGGCAGCAGTTTCCTCTACAACTCGTACACCTGATGATGGCCAGTTGGGGCGAAACATATAGTTTTCAAATAACAGGAAGAGATGAATGCTTCTGAAGTGTGAATTTTAATACATCAATGAAGTTGCACAGTGACAGTGAGAAGAGTGAGTGCTAATTTAGAATTCTCCATGTCACCTTACCTGTATTAGCTTCCATGTGAAGGATTTGTTCAGCAAACCTCAGCAGAAGGCTGTCCCCTACAAGCTGGTATGATCTCAGCTGTGGCTGCTGCAGTGCAATTTACAGGATTTCTTTGAGAAGGTTTCTAAGATCCACTGCACTTGTTTACATATATTGATGCTTGTTACTCAGTGCTAAGTTTACAATTTCAAATTATCAAGACACAAAATAAAGAATACTCAACAAATATGCATGCCTGAATTGAGAATAAGGATGATATAAAGGATAGCTTATATGAAGAACTAGCATGTCGTCAATATGATATATTAATGGAGACTGCACTGCAAAAGTAGAGAGAAGAAATTTTCAAACACATTCTGGAATTAAAATTTATATGAAATCAGTAATCATAATGGTGTTACAGCAAGTAAACTTTGCCACTTTAGAGACTATCAGTAAGTAAATAAGCAAAGCAAAGTTTGATATGGGAGATGTCGTTTCAAGAAACTAAATGTTATTAATAAGCAGTATCAGATTAGAACTGCAAATAGTGCTGTGGCTCTGGGTAACTTGGATGAAAGTGTGAATATTGATAGTATTTGGGATGGTATTACAGAGATTATCAAACCCTTAGCCAAACAGTACTGGGTTGTCAGAATAAACCAAGGTTTGAAGAAGATCAAAAGAAATAATCTTGATTGCAGTGGTTGTAGAATCCAAGCCAAACGAATGAAAATAAGTATTCTGCAACATCTGGTCTACCCAGAGGAATATTTAGGCTACAGAAAGAAATGTGTTTAAATTAAACGCACGGTGAAGTCTGACCAAGTAAACAGTTTTCTGATGAATTTTCTAGTCATATTTATGATTTGAAAATCAAAATGTGCATGTACCTGTCTTCTATCTCATAGATTTTAATGAGCTGTGGAGCCTCTAAGCATAAACAAGTTTTTTTTTTTTATTATTATTATCAGTGAGTGGTCTATGGCCCATAATTCCAGAACACAGTAACTTCAAATGCCTATACATATTTTGAAGACTGTTAATGCATTCATTGCCTGTCCAGTTACATGACAGTTTAAGCCTATCATATGTGAGTGCTGATTCTGTGAAGCAGTAGGCTGTTGTCACTGTGTATGTAACTGTTTTTTCCTACAGATATGACTAAAATGCAGAGAAAATATAAGCCTAGCTTGCCAAAACTTGAAACATTAAGCACATGCATTTACTGTTGTCTTGCACTTGTTCTTTCTATTTTTGTTTCTAGTGTACATCAGACAGCCCTTGAGATGAAATTCCAGCATGCAGACAGTGTTTGAGATACAGTAGTGGGTCAGGTGTCTTTTTTAAATAGGCCGTAATGTAAACTGTCACATTGTCGCATCATGTTATTGCAGTTTTCAAGGTCAATGAACTGTACTTTGAACTTAAATTCTAAAAAAAATAATAAGTATTAAAAAGTGTCTTTAAGTTCGCTTTGTAACATATTTCATAATGCAATCTTAATGGCAATATATCAAAACTAATAGAGTGCAACCTTGATAATTGGAACCAACGCACTTCTTTTTTGGACTGCTAAATTGGTCAGATTAACGGATTTCAAACAAAAAAAAAATTTCTTTATTAAAGTGGCTTAGTCAAAAGATTTATAGGTACATTTTATATATGAACAACCAAAACTTTGTAAAATATTTTACTTTAGTGTTCCATATTGCCTTCATTTTCTCCAAAAACGTTTTGAATAGTTTCATTGTCAAAGTTTTCATATGGTCATTATCATCTTATCCTGCAGCCCATTCTTCACAATCTGTGAGAATCAAATTTGTATCCAATAACTTGTTTTTTCAAGCTCAGTTACAGTCTTCCTCAGAACCTTTGTCATATTTCCCTCCTGTGCAATTTAGTTAATATGTTGTGTAGGCCATAGCTTACTCGAAGACTTTTGGATAAGACTTGGACTTCATGAATACCACACTTCCACTAAAATGAATATACCATTTCTCAATTTGATGTTTTTGTTATTTTCAGTTTCCTGTAGATCGAATGATAAGTAAGGATCAGTGTTCACTCTACTCCTGCTTTATAAAGACACAGAAGTACGCCTTAAATACAAACTTATAACCATAGTAACACACAACAATATAAAGATACTGTTGTTACACACAACACTTTTTATTTCACAATTCCTTTGTCAATGTTGTGACATTTTCTACTTTTTACAGTCTTCTGAATAGTTTAGTTTTGTCATCAACAGTGTTTATGTTTGTTTTACATAATATCATGTAAATATTCACACCTAACAAATTTATTTAAGTAGATTTTAAAGGGAGCTGATGGTGGATGACACAGCATTGCTTTATTAGTTTAAAAATTAAATAAATTTCACAGAATTACTGGGTTTTTGGACTTAGGACCTAAAGTGTCCTCTATTACCTAGAATTCCGGAGGATGGAAAAAGTCCAAAAACCCAGTAATTCTGTGAAATTTATTTAATTTTTAAACTAATAAAGCAATGCTCAGAATATTACAATTAAGATCAAGTGAAAACTGACAATGGCAATACAAATCAATGAATAAATGCAAACTAACAGCAGGAACATTAAAGGTTTTAGAATCAACAGTGTCAAAGTCACCAAAGATGCAAAAAAAAAAGTTTTATAAAGAAAATACTGTGCTCCTTATACAGCAAGTGTGGCAGGAAGTAAAAAGAGATTCAGGCAGTCCTTGCAGAACTCACAACTCAGCTGCAGTCACACTCACCAATACAATAAGTCAGTTCAGACTATTGGAGATGTGGATTACCAAGGTTCCACTGTATTTCAATTATGTAATATAGTTGCATATTATGCTGCCCAGTGAGCACATACTGTCTGCATTAACCTCATATGAATTAATATATCCTAGCAGGAATTAAGTGTTGATGGATGTCACTGAAGTAGAATGAACAATAACAGATACTACAGAAATGAATCCAATTAAGATAATTTTAATCTTGTTTGCATGACAGTTATTATGTGATGTCTGGTCAGTTCATTCAGATGGCACTGCTAGATGTTTCCTCTAATTTTTGGCCATATGACTTAGCTGGATTTGTGTTGCAGTCATACACGATTATTTTGTATACAGAGTATCAAAGATGAGCTTTGGTGTTGGCTAAATTCAAACTTCAGACTTATGGAAAAATGGTTTGCAGTTTTGGTATTATGGAAACAGCCTCAGTGGTCTGGTGGTCAGACTTCCTGGCTACATATCCAAAGGTCCCAGGCACGATTCCCAGCGCTACCAGATTTTCTGAGAAGTAGTGGGTCTGGAATGGGGTCCACTCAGATTAACTGTGGAGCTATTTCAAGGAAATAGATGCTCTGGCCATGGGGATCCATTGCGCTGACGTGACACCCTCTATCCGCAAAAGTTGGCACCAACTTTGCTGACAGGTTGCGGTCAGTGTAGTTCGCTTGTGGACTACATGCCACGGAGTGTGTTTAAACTGTTTATGGAAAACAGCTTCCTTATAAGTGGAGTTATATGTCATACCACAAACATATTCAAATTACTATCATAACTTCCAGTTGTGATACATTTCAGTCTTATCACTCTCCAAGTCAAGCCATAATTTTCTTTTGTAGGTATAGCCAGAAACTGATGGTTCAAAGAACACTGAGGACTGCAGTACATGAATAATTATAAATTGGGTATCCACAACTGCTGGACATCTTACATGCAGCATTTGTATCACAAGGCAAACTAAGTTAATATATGTACATACCACTTCTACTGTAGTGTTCTCGTTTAATGCATTGTTTTCTTCAAGCAAGGAACTTGTATCAATTGGAAGATGTAATTCGCCTGATGCAGTGCTGCAAAATGATACCCTTCGTGATAAACATTTTGGGCTGCACTTTTTGCAATAGTTTTCTTTGGTACACACCTGTGAAATGTCTCTCATTGCATATTCCTGCTGTTGGATAAACACGGTAACTTGAACATCACAACAGTACTCCAGAAAACGATGATATGGCAATACTGTGAAGTGGTTCTTGCATATTGTACTTACGACCGTTGAATGATGCGGTACAGAATACACAAGTTTTGGCCTTTTTTGGTTAGGAGTGTATTTTATATTTTGCTCCTTGAGAGGCTGATTGCACGTGTCACAAACATTTTCCTTACAGCCAAATTTAAACGATGCGTCTGAATTCATTCCTGTTTATTTATAATCCCTCTACTCTAAATTACAGACATACCAATAGACCAGCACCGTGAAACTACGATGCTATTGGTGGGCATAACGGCCGCCATGACACCACGATGCAATGCAGCTGCCATCTCTACGCACCCCACGTTAACTAAATTTAAAATTACGACAGGGCCGAGAGCACAATCGGTAAGAAGGTATGCTAATATAGCAAATATTTTGAGAGCTCCCACATCACCCAATGCTTTGTACGCTAGAACAGCAATAAATACTTTTACAACCAGATGTCTTCTACTGCAGAGGTTCCCCCTCAAACTATTTCTATTTTTGAATTGTGTTCAATAGTACTAGCAAAGGAGAATGAGGTTGGCAGGGCATGTAGCACTAATTGGGAAGGCGAGGAATGCATATAGGATATTGGTGGGGAAAGCCTGAATGAAAGAGAATACTGGGAAGACCAAGGTGTAGGTGGGTGGACAATATGAAAATGGATCTTAGAGGGATAGGATGGTATGATATGGATTGGATTGATCTGGCTCAGGATAGGGACCAGTGGAGGGCTCTTGTTAACACAGTAATGAACTTTCGGGTTCCATAAAAGGCTGGAACCGTCAGTCGTAAAATTACTTTGAAACGAAGCAAGCAATAAAGAGGAATTTTGTAAAGGTAGAAACGAAGCGGTAGGATATGTGGAAGACGAAGGCGAATAGTTGTCATAACCATGGTGGGACTTTGGTAAGGCACTGGAGTATGGTTTAGAAGTTACGTGGTTCGAAGAGATGGCTATTTTAGTGAAAAAAAAAGAACGTAAGAAATTTATGCACGTAGGAAGCAAGTCGTGCTATATGAGGAAGGTGAAGATAACAAATTTGCATAGACCTGGTGGTACATGGGTAAGACACTGGCGTAGTATTGGGAAGGTACTGGGTTCGACACCACGGTGTCTTTTCTCAATAGAAATTAAAAAAGTGAATAAATAAATACGATTTTTCTGCAGCTATAAACCAAGTCGTAGAATATGAGGAGGATCGCAGAAAGCTATCGCATAGATGTCGTGGTGGTCCAGAGGTAAAGCACGGGCGTTGTAATTTAAAGGTTCGTGGTTCGAAAACCCAAGTATTTTTGTAATGAGATTTTTATGGAATTATATAGCGAGATGTAACATAAGAGGAAGATTAAAGGTAAAAAATATCTGTGGTTTGGTGGCCTATTGGTAAAGCACCGGCGTAGTGAATCGAAGGTTCGAGGTTTGGAAACAGCGAAAATTTTATAAAATACAAGTTGAGTTAATAAGATTTTTCTGTAAGTATAACAAAAGATGTAACATAAGAGGAAGATTTAAGCTCAAAAATTTCCGTGGCATTGGTGGCGTATTGGTAAAACACCGGCGTAGTGAAGCGGACTTACAAGGTTCGAGACCAACGATAATTTTGTGAAATAGAAAGTGAGTTAATATGATTTTTCAGGAATTATAACCGAAGACGTAGCTTAAGAGGAAGATTAAAGAAAATAAATTTCAACGGTGCTGGTGGCCTATNAAAGTATTTAAACCTGCAGCGCATCCTGTTGACTAAAACCTCATGGAAAGCCAGGAAGTGTAGTTTACTGGCCTGTGCAAACCGCTCCTCTGAAGGATTCATTTCATAGGGTAGGGCAGAAGGTATTGAGGATGGAAGCGTGGGACCCCACCCTCAACCACCCTTATAATCACGCAGAAGGTTAATCGCTTGAGACCAGGCTACTTCCGCGAGATTTAACAAGAAACTATTTTAAACTGCAGCGCCATCTGTTGAACAGATGTTGTAATGTTCAACAGATGGCGCTGCACTTTTATTTCATACTTGCTTAACTCTCGCGGATTTAGTTTGGTCTCAAGTATTTAACTTTCTGCGTGACCCCAACAGCGATCGTGGGTACGGTCCCACGTTTCGCCATCTGTGGAGTAATGTTCAACAGGTGGTGCTTTTTGTTATTTCATATGAATGTGAATACTATGTAAGCGTCCCATACTTCGCCATCTGTGGAGTAATGTTCAAAAGATGGCGATACTTTCTTATTTCATATGAATACTATGGAAGGGTGGAACTCCACCCTCGCCCGCTCTTGGAGTCGCGCAGAAAGGTAATCACTTGAGATCATGCTATATCAACGAGAATTAGCAAGAAAATTTTTAAAACTGCAGCGTCTGTTGAACATTACTCCACAAGTGATTAACTTTGTCCAGAGGAGCGGTTTGCACAACCCAAAAAGATACGAAGATGATACATTTTAACTATACTTCCTGGCTTTCCATGAGGTTTTATTCGACAGATGGCGCTACGGTTATTTTATATTTAATGGTTGAGACCAAGCTCATTCAGTGCAGTTTTAAAAATTTTCTTGCTAATTCTCGCTGATATAGCATGATCTCAAGTGATTACCTTTCTGCGCGACTCCAAGAGCGGGCGAGGGTGGAGTTCCACCCTTCCATAGTATTCATATGAAATAAGAAAGTATCGCCATCTTTTGAACATTACTCCACAGATGGCGAAGTATGGGACGCTTACATAGTATTCACATTCATATGAAATAACAAAAAGCACCACCTGTTGAACATTACTCCACAGATGGCGAAACGTGGGACCGTACCCACGATCGCTGTTGGGGTCACGCAGAAAGTTAAATACTTGAGACCAAACTAAATCCGCGAGAGTTAAGCAAGTATGAAATAAAAGTGCAGCGCCATCTGTTGAACATTACAACATCTGTTCAACAGATGGCGCTGCAGTTTAAAATAGTTTCTTGTTAAATCTCGCGGAAGTAGCCTGGTCTCAAGCGATTAACCTTCTGCGTGATTATAAGGGTGGTTGAGGGTGGGGTCCCACGCTTCCATCCTCAATACCTTCTGCCCTACCCTATGAAATGAATCCTTCAGAGGAGCGGTTTGCACAGGCCAGTAAACTACACTTCCTGGCTTTCCATGAGGTTTTAGTCAACAGGATGCGCTGCAGGTTTAAATACTTTCTTGCTAACTCTCGCTCATAGAATTTGGTCTGAAATGAATAAGTCAAAGTCACCCCCTAAGGGCGGGTGGTTGGTGGGCGGACGGTGGGCCAAAGTTTTTTTCTTTTTGATCCCATGTGGATTTTAATAAAACCCGCTTAGGTTGAGTGTTTTAATGAGCGGCCGCAAAAAGCAAAAATATT